GTCACCTCACTGAGTCTAGTTAACATGTATGCTAGACACAGGTACAAATGCAAATATTTCACATGCAAATTTTTAAGATCTTGGGTTGGAGCAATAATACAGCAGGTAAGGTGCTTTACTTGTATGTGGCCAATCCAAACTCAATCCCCTATACCCTTGTATGGTCCCCTGAGCCCATCAGGAGTGATCCTTGAGCACAGAGCCAGGAGTTACCCCTGGGCAAAGCTGGGCTAAACAAAAGGGAAAAGCAAACAAAAGAAAAAAATATGCTATCTTATCATCGTTCAAATATAAATATGGTATCTTTACTACTGTGCTGTAAGTTTGGTCTATTCCTATGACCAAACTATTTCAGTTTTATCTTATAATTGGAATTTCTACCTTTTGACCATTTTTACTCCTTTTCCCCCATTCTTACATTTTCTACAGTATTTATATTTCTTGCTTACATTTTATCATATATTTCTTTATGCCTCCTTTATGAGGAAGCAGGTTTTTGTTTGTTTGTTTGTTTAATAGCAAATAGGGGCTGTGCATGCAGTTTTTCAAAGTATTAATTGATTTTGAGGAAGTATTAATAAACAGATTATTAAACAGAACTTTCCAGAAGATAGAAAAAGAGGAGAAGAGGAAAAGAAACTTTATATGAGAGTATTCTTTTCCTTAAAGCAAACCCAAGCCATTAAGAGGTGGTATAGCACTCTGGGAGCCCTGAAATCTCTTGTGTATTATTGCCTGTGCTAGGTCTCTGTATTGCCGATGGGCAGCAGGGATTAGTGAGTGAAGATTACTTACGGGTCGTAAACAACAATGTCACAGAGCCAACTGAGAGGGACTCCAGAACCTAAGTAGGTAAGTGGATTGCACCATGGCACCCACACCAGTCAATGTGTGACACTAGAATCAGTAGCCACAAAATAAGAAATAAACACTACTTTGTGCTGAGTGATCAGAGCATCTGAGTGAACTCAGCATTGAAATGGAGAGGGAAGATAGCAATGACTGTCAAAATGCAGATAACTGTCATTTTGTATCAACAGGGGGTTGAATGGAGTTTAAATTGAAGACAAACTTTATATTTTTGGTTGGGAATTACGAGAAGCAAGAGAAACAGTTCTCTCTCTCTCTCTCTCTCTCTCTCTCTCTCTCTCTTTTATTAGCGAGACACCATGAGGTACAGTTGTAGTCTTACAAATTTTTGTGCTTGGGTTTCAATTATACAATGATCAAATACCCATCCCTCCACCAGTGCCCATTTCCCACCACCACAGATCCCAGTATCCCTCCCACTCCCCATCCCCCCCATCCCACCCTGCCTCTGTGGCAGGGCATACCCTTTTGTTCTCTCTCTCCTTTTGGGTCTTGTGGTTTGCAAAAGAGGCATTGAGAAAAATAAATAAATAAATGCCAACTGCTTCTTATTGCTGATATGTAGGGAAAATGATATTTCTATATTAAGCTGTGTTCTGCAACCTTATTATAATCATTGTTTACTTCCAAGATTATTTTGTCCATTCTTTCAAATATCCAAAAAAAATGGACCATATTATTTATGAATAAAAGCACTTTTGTTTCTCCCCTCCTCCCCCGAAAAAAAAGAGAAACAGTTCTCAAGTAATCCCCTAGGAATACAAAGCAGGCTAGAATTGTCCGTAGGTGAAAGTTGCCAAAACTGGAATAATTGCTTAATGTGTAAGAGGCTATTTTTTAAGGATAAAAATATTTTGGAGTTAGATGAGATTAGTGCTTTGTACAAAATTGTCAGTGGACTCAATATCACTCAATTGCTCACTTTGAGGCAAATTTGGAAATGTATTTGGATGCTTAGTTTTGTTATGAGAATTGCTGGTGTGAAAATACCAGCAATGGTAGGAATTCATCTATAACTTCAGAGCTACTCTCAAGGCCATTTTCTTGGGGAACATTTAGTGATCTCGAAACCTGAGTTATGACAGAACTTCTATTCACCCTGAAACTACTTTTTATGCAGAGTAACATGGTAATGGTGCAGATCCTGGGTGTTGCATATTCTTGTGACTGAAGAGAAAGAACACTTGGTATTTAATAGCACTGTAGCACTGTCCACCCATTGTTCATCAATTTGCTGGAGCTAGCACCAGTAACGTCTCCATTGTGAGACTTGTTACTGTTTTTGGCATATCGAATATGCCACAGGGAGCTTGCCAGGCTCTGATGTGGGGGCGGGATACTCTCTATAACTTGCAGGGCTCTCAGAGAGGTATTTAATAAAAATAAATAAATAAATAAATAAATAAACAACCAACTTCTGTTTCTTAAGTTGTCCAGTATTCCAAGATATCCTTTAGTAAAGTCTACTACCAGAATATTTAATTATTGTCTGCCTCTCCACTAATCGTATCTGTTATGAAGGACTTACTTAACATCAGAATTTATCCCTGACCCTGAGCTTTTAACAAGAACAAATTGATCTAATTCTCACAAAAATCCTGTGCAGTATATGTTTCATTTATTTCCCTTAACAAGGGGGAATTCGGGTCACAAAATTAATTCTCCCAGGGTGAATGAGCTTGAGGCAGAAACAAGACCCAAGCCTAACATTCTGGTTCCTGAGCCCACCACACTAGCTCCCAAGAGCAGGTGTGTCTCCATGTTTGCTTCTCAGCAACAGCACACGGCCCAGTGGAAGAAGGCCCACACTAATTATAATCCATAAATTAATGCTTATCCTGGATTCCAACTCTAGAATAACTCATGTTTGGCTGAGCGGTCCTTAGAAAGTCATGGGACCTTTCTCTATTCAACACTTACTCAACTACCATATTTTAGATTTATAGAGATGAAATAGGATCATAGATCTGAAAAATGTTAAGAAAAGTTACTTTTTAAATAAGTGTAGAGGGTAACACAATAAATATGCTTCCTAATTCATATTCCTCTAAATACCTTGTATGAGAGAAGAAAGCTAAAAGATCGTTGATTCACAGAGAGTGATTTCCTTTTTTTCTAGCTTTTGCAGCCCTTCCCTTAGAGAGAATGGCTAAAGCTCCAGCAACCATTTTGACCATGATATATTATTTCTGAAGATGGAAGATCGATCCAGCATGGAAGAGTCAAAAGATAATAGCCCCTTCTACTCCCTGACTCTGATGACAGTTGAGGCTGACATACCTGTCTTGAATTTTTTTCACATGAGAAATGAATAAACATTTGTCTCAGGTAACCAACAGTTGTCTTGTTGTCTGTTGTATAGACAATAGTACTAATTCTAAGCATAAATTATTTTCTTCCTTGGCCAGCCTCATTTCCTTTCATAGTACTCATCACAGCGTGGTCTATTTTCAGTCCTAGACCTCAAGTTCCTTGAGCACTCTCTGATGATGTCAAGCCCCCCAGCTTTGTGCCTAACCTTTGAGGTGCCCAATGAATATTTGTTACATAAACATATCCAGTAGCATCTAAACTGTATTTCTCTCCATGGGTTCGTCTTCTCTCCCTTATATTTTATACCATATGCCAAACTTCTTCATCTGATTAAACTATCTTTCATCTCTCTCCATTATCTCTGCTTTTTGTTTTGGACTACACTCAGTGGTACCCAGAGATCACTCAGGGCATTTTACAGGATTGATGCCTGGCAGTGCTCATGAAATTATATGGTGCGTCTGAGTATAAACCCAAGTCAGCTGCATACACAGTAAGATTGTTCCAATAAACTTTTTTCACTAAATGCCTGAGTCACTTAAGTATATAGCACTGTATCACTGTCCTCCCATTGTTTATCAATTTGCTTGAGTGGATACCAGTAATGTCTCCATTGTGAAACTTGTTGTTACTGTGTTTGGCATATCGAATACGCCACAGGGAGCTTGCCAGGCTGTGTCGTGCGGGAGGGATACTCTTGGTAGCTTGTTGGGCTCTCTTACAGTCTCTTATAGCAGTTACGTGAAGCTTCTCTCAAGAGAACTTTGGAAGCAGCGAAGAAAGCAGGAAAGGCAGAAAAGAAGGTCAAAGAAAACTCAATGCCTCTTTTGCAAACCACAACACCCAAAAGGAGAAAGAGAACAAAAGGGAATGCCCTGCCACAGATGCAAGGTGGGATGAGGGGGTTGGGGGGTGGGAGGGATACTGGGACCCGTGGTGGTGGAAAATGGGCACTGGTGGAGGGATGGGTACTTGATCATTGTATAACTGAAACCCAAGCACAAATATTTGTAAGTCTACAACTGTAATTCATGGTGTTTCACTAATAAAAATTTTTTTTAAAAAGAAAATAGAATATAGACTCAACTCAAGTCCTTACCTCAGACTTCTCTTTTGAGGGGGCTCAGTAGATTGAATGATATCATAAGGTTGCCCCACCTTGAGATTTGGAACCTAGTTGTTATGTCTCCCAGAGTAGGTTAACTGTTTACTGTGGTCAAATTATAGCACGAGGCCACTACTTCCCAGGCTTCTCTGGGCTGTCACCAGTGGCCAAGGTGACTCAATAAGAAAAACAGAGCAATAAAGAAACTAGCTATCAGCCCCGATGACATCTGTAGCATTGATGCCCTGGACCCAGCAAAGGGACCGGTTCAGGGCATCAGCTTCATATTCTACTCCCAGAAAGTATGGAAGCTAAAGCAGGCTTCAAGTACCTTGAGTCCAGTTCCGAAACATTTTTTTTTTTGCTTTCGGGTCACACCCGGTGATGCATGGGGGTTACTCCTGGCTCATGCACTCAGGATTTACTCCTGGGGATGTTCAGGGGACCATATGGGATGCTGGGAATCGAAATCGAGTTGGCCGTATGCAAGGCAAATGCCCTATCCTCTGTGCTATCACTCCAGCCCCAAGTTTTGAAATATTTTTAAGAGACTTTTATTTGGGTGTCTTTTCTGTTTGATTCATCACAGGCATGTTATTCACTTCAGATTTCAAAGTTGCCCATTAAGAGGTTATCATGTAAATTATTGGGTTTCTTTATTAGTGAACAAACTCTTAGACATTAATTATTAACCTCAGCACTCATTTCAACAAACCTTTTAAACAGAACTCACAAAACATAGCTACCTTACAACCACACTTTAATACTATTCCAGCCATGGATATCTTAAGCATAATATGTATATTTTTCTACTTGGGAAGAAGTTGGGGACAGGAGCAAACGTAAGTGAAAGATTTGATATTTTATTTGCAAGTGTTTTTGTAATAGTTATAGAGGAAGTGGAATTTCGTTCATGCCCTAAAAAATTAACTTCCTTTTCCTAAAAATTAACTTCCTACTTCTAAAAATTAATTTCCTACTTCTGAAAATAACCACTTTTATCTATTGGTCAATGCCGTTACTGGCCTGGCATGATTAGTATCCTAATATAAGATGGTATCCAGGTATTCATGAGAGGTAACTTGCTGATTAGTATTAGTATTTTGATTTAAGATGTTTTATGGAGACATAAGGAGCTGTCTGTCCTGGATTCTTTGAGGCCTGGAGTTAGTCGCCACTCGTTCCATGTACCTTGGTTTTTCATTAGGTTCTGTAGGTTTGTGGCCACCAGGATTCAAAGGGTTTGGGTGGAGGGCCAACACCTGCTCTCATCTGAGACTCCCTGGTGAAACTGGCCTGGTGTAAGGTCCAGGGGCATTTCTGGAGCATTATGACCTCTTGCCCACGAACTGCCCCAAAATACAATCCTATCTGTTTCTTTAGGGGACTCTATTAAACATTCCCCTGGATGATCTTTAGGATGCTTTCTGGAGTCTGCTAGTATTAGCATAGAAAAAATTACATTTTGAGAAATAAAGTATGTACTGCTAAGTGCACGAACTATTGATTATATGACTTGCTTCTCTTAGGTGAAAAATGTTTAAATATGCTTTATTAAAAGAATGGGCTGGAGTGATAGCACAGCAGGTAGGGTGTTTGCCTTGCACACGGCTGAACCGGTTTGATTCCTCCGCCCCTCTCAGAGAGTCCAGCAAGCTACCAAGAGTATCTCACCCGCACAGCAAAGCCTGGCAAACTCCCTGTGACGTATGGGATATGCCAAAAGCAGTAACAGAAAGTCTCACAATTTGTTGTGAGATGTTACTGGTGCCCTCTCGAACAAATCAGTGAACAATGGGAGGACAGAGCTACAGTGTTACAGTGATTAAAAGAATATCTCAATAATTTTGTTCTTTCAACAGATATGTTGTTTTTGCACCTAAAGCGTTCTGTGTTGGTGCCTCTGAAAACGTAGTGATTCAAGTTCATGGATATACAGAACCATTTGCTGTGTCTGTTGCTATTAAAAGTTATCCTGACAAAAATTTCAGATATTCCTTTGGGCAAGTCAACTTATCTCCAGAAAATAAATTCCAAGGCTCTGCAAGCTTAACTGTATGTATTTTTCCTCATCATCTCTAATTTCTCTTTGTAGAGTAAATGCATCATTAATGCACTCATCTCTTGTACATATAGATAAAGATATAATACACAATACAAAGGCGTGTGCACTGGTTGAGGAGAGGAAAATGTCCCATGTTTATATATTTAGGTCAGAATGAAATGTTAGAGAATTTGCTTTTGATTTATGGTTCATGTAAAAATACACAAGTCGGAATGTGTCAGATAAAAATGATAGAGGAGAAAAGGTTTGGTGTGTTGAAAACAACCAGTGTTGAAACTGTCTCAAAATTACATGTTGAATGCTAGGGAAAGATTATTTTACAGTGAAATTTTATATAATATTAGAAGAAAATATATCTGGAGAGAGATATATATTGATGTATCTCTTGTTCCAAAATGTTTATAGAATGCAGAGCATTCCATTTAGAACATATATTTTACTAAATTATCCTAACAGTTCAGGAAACATACTGGATTCTAGAAAATAATTATTTTGCTAAAATACATGTTACAGAAAGCAAAATTTTTCTCAGAGAAATATGTGAACCATATGTTCAAGTAATATGAAATAAATATTCATGAACCTATTAGTACAGATAGCTGACTATATCAATATGTTTGAGAAGGGCCACATAGTAATCATACATTAATATTTGTATAATTTAATATTAAAATATTGATATTTTAACAGATAGAACAAAAAGATTTGCCTGGAGGACCAAATGCAGTTTCACATGTGTACTTAGAAGTTCTATCTGCTTATTTTTCAAAAACAACAAAAATTCCACTACGTTATGACAATGGACTCATCTTTATTGAGACAGATAAATCTGTTTACTTTCAAGATGATAAATCAGGTATGAGGGGGGATTTTTTAAATATTATAGTTGAGGTAATATAATTATAATAAGTGCAAATATCTATGATTTTGGTATTCAGAGTTGTTGCACCTCTACCACTGCCAAAGTGCCAAAGACATGAGTATTTCTTTCCCCACCCCCCGGCCATCACCACCACCACTGCCAAGTCCTGATGCGACTTCCAGACCACTTCTTCCTTCCATCCAAGCCTTTCCCCACAACTGATTGATAATTTCAGTTCTCTCGTTAAACTTAAGAGTTTGTTATTAGTATATACTGTCTATTCCATTGCTTTTTTTCTTAAAAAAATCAATATAAATATAATCATTTAGCATGTGTCCTTCTCCCTTTGACTTATTTAATATGAAACTCTAGTTCCAACCGTGTTGGGAAAAAAAGAAAGATTTCATGTTTTATTATAGTTGAGAGAATTTCATTGCAAATAAATGCCACGACTTGTTGTTGCTATTGTTTGGACCATATCCAGCAGTGCTCAGGGCTCACTCTTGACTCTGTGCTCTGGAATTATTCCTGGCTATGCTAGGGAACTATAGATAATGTGGTGCTACAGATAAACCACATTTTTCCTGTTTTATTTTAGGCATGGGGGCTTCCAATATTGTTAATGATAATGATTGTGTATAAACACCACCGCCACCCCCAGAGTGTCTACTCCCTCCACTGTCATCCCTAGGTTCTCCCTCCCCCATCTCACTCCCCAATTCCCCCCTGATGACCAGTTCTGAGTTTCTGTTACCCCCTGGATACTTGATATACCCCTACTATCATTCCTTATATTCCACATATGAGAGAGATCATTCTGTGTCTGTGCCTTTCCCTCTGACTTTGTTCAGCAGGATACTCTCTAGGTCCATCCACATAGTAGAAAATTTCATGATGCAATCTTTTCTTAGAGCTGAACAGTATTCTGTTACCACAACATTTTAAATTGTGGATTGTTGTTGGACATTTGGGTTCTTTCTAAATCTCAGCTATTTTAAATGTTGCTGCTTTGGACAAAAGTGGGCATATAACCTTTATTTGTATCTTCTTGGGATATAAGCCAAGGAGTGGAATCACTGGATTATATGAGAGTTTTCTTTTTAATTTCATTAGAAGTCTCTAAATTGTTTTTTATAGAAATGGAATCTGATCATAACATTTCCACCAACAGTGGTTAAAGTTTCCTCTTTCGCCATATCCTCCATTGTGATAGGGATTGCAAAGACTTTGTATAATGCTTTGGGAAGAATTGTGGATTGTGAATTTAGATAGAATGCTAAACATTTTCTGTATTGATTTTCCAACCTATTGTTTTGCTTTGTTTATTGTTTCTAATACTTATTTTATTGGAGACTTTAAGGTTTAAGAGTAAATTTTAGTCTGGGGGGTGGTGATGGGGGAAAGATAGTTGATCAATGGATGAATCAGGACGATGACTTATTTTTGTGTTTCCCCCCCAAACCCACCACGAATGAAGTTAATTCTCTACTTATATCGTACAGAATCGTCAAGAATTTATGAACCAAAGATTAAGTTATAAATTATAAAAGCAAAAAATGAGAAACATATCAGTATAAAATAGAAAAAAACTTTAGAGTGATGCCAATTTTTACAAAATGGTTTTTAAACTTGAACTGATGTACTAATGAACATAAAGTTAATATGGGGGAAAATTATAGCATGAAATAAACTCATTTCCATTCTCTTTACAAATGATATTTCAGTTTCATTTTTTTTCTCTTTGGGCCGTACCCACTTGCCAAGGGGCAAGCAGCGGATGTGATCAAACACAGTTTGATCAAACTCCTGCATTCAAACATGCACTCCAGCCCTTTGATCTATCCCCCAGGCTCTTCAATTTCATTTCACAACCACAGTCTTGAACTAAATTGTGAAAACCAAAGCAATGTTTGCCTTTGTACCACAACTAGAAATCATTTCATTCTTTTTTCCCCCTAGTAAATTCTTTCTTACAGTAAAGTCACAGAAGGGGAAGAAGGTTTAGTTATGGATGTAGACTGAATTCGGCATATTTTATGAACCATCCTTAAAGAGAATGATTATGGTAACCTCAGATTCTCAGATTTGATTTATGGTGCTTTGCTACTTCTGTTGACACCACTTATTCTCCATTTTTTCTTGTCTACAATAATTTTAGTCATATTAATTCTTCTTTTGTATAAGCTGCCTTAAATCCAAAAATTATTTATGATAAGCTGAGTCATATTTTTATATGAATAGAAACTTTTTTTTTATAATTTATTTATTTATTGAATCACTGTGGGAAAAGTTACAGAGCTTTCGGGTTTAGGTCTCAGTCATGTAAATATCAAACACATTTCCCTTTACCAATACTTATTTTTAACCCCGAACCCCAATAGACCCCCACCTCCCCCCACCCCTCCCAATTCTTGTGAGGCAGATGAGTTCTAGTTAATACTCTATCTACTTTTACTAGATAGATTGTTTCGATAGAAGATGCACAATTATTGTTTAGAGTTTATGACCCACCCCCCACAATCAGATATGCTGAAACAGCATTGTGAAATGATTTGCTTTCTACAACTTGGTTTAAGAATAAAATGATGTCGCGTGGCCGCGATAGCGGCTGCGCGGTTTTGAATTTCTGCTATTTTACTTATTGACCCTGGAAGAATTTCTATTAAAAGTTAGATAGTTAAGAGATTGGTTTCTGTGCCCTGGAGTCGTGGCCGTGCCGGAGAGCCGCTCGTGGGGGGCAGCTGGCGACCTCGGTGGGGCGTGGGGGACGGCCCACAAAGCCCCCCTTCCCATGAGGTCCCCGCCGCTCCCGCCGAGCCCGGCTCAAACCTGCTGTCCACAAGGCTCCCGTGCGGCCGCCATCTTTCTTTCCAGAGAGGAGCGGGCGGGCCGGTCAACACCCTTTCCCCTCCGGGCAGGCTTGGTGGCGCGGTTTAACACATAGTCCATTTGCTTTTCTGCTCCAAGCGGCTGGTTCTCTGTGCTAAGTCCTTGTGCCTCCGGGGCCGTGGCCGTGCCGGAGAGCCGCTCGTGGGGGGCAGCCGGCGACCTCGGTGGGGCATGGGGGACGGCCCACAAAGCCCCCCTTCCCATGAGGTCCCCGCCACTCCCGCCGAGCCCGGCTCAAACCTGCTGTCCACAAGGCTCCCGTGCGGCCGCCATCTTTCTTTCCAGAGCAAATAGAAACTTTTAAGAGAACCTATTGAGGAATTTTGTAAGGTAAAGGTAAAGGTAAAGACCCTCCCGTTGATCGTCGATTTGCTCGAGCGGGCCCAGTAACGTCTCCATTGGAGACCTTGTTGTTACTGTGTCTGGCATATCGAATACTCTCGGTAGCTTGCCGGGCTCTCCGAGGAATTTTGTGAAAAAACTATTTCTATGTCAACATAGTATTTCTATTCAATATTCAAATCAACCTGCCACTTAAACATGAATCTCTTTATTTTGTATTTTTTATTTAAAGTTTCATGGCCATATACTTGAGGCTTATTAATAATATCTCTCATTTATTAATAGTAAAAAAGTTTTCTATAATGATTTTTCTTTTACAGTAAAAGTTAGAGCTTATGCATTGGACGAAGACCTAAAGCCAGCTCAAAGGGAAGTTATCTTAACTTTCATAGTGAGTATGGCATTAATTTAAAATTTTTTTCTTCTTTCGAGATTTTATTCGGGCACCAGGATGTATTATGCTGTTAGTAACTTAGGTTCAGGCATACAAATGTTCCAAGTCTACAGCCACAGTGACAGTATCCTTCCACCAGTGTTTCAAGGTGTTCACTAGCCTCCATCCCAATAGACTCTCCCTCTCGGCCTGCCACACTACACTATGGCAGACTTTTTTTTTTTTTGGCTTTTTGGGTCACACCCAGCAATGAACAGGGGTTACTCCTGGCTCTGCACTCAGGAATTACGCCTGTCACACCCGGTGATGCACAGGGGCCACTTCTGGCTCTGCACTCAGGAATTACCCCTGGTGGGGCTCAGGGGACCATATGAGATCCTGGGAATCGAACCCGGGTTGACCGTGTACAAGGCAAATGCCCTACCCACTGTATTGCTCCAGCCCCCACTATTGCAAACTTTCAAAAATTATTTTATTACTATACTTGAATCACATATCTGCAATAGTGTCAACACTAATTTTTAATTTTTCTTTTGACACTAATGGTTTTATGCAGAAATACCTTAACTAATCACTACCAGAGTGTCCTCCACCAATGTCATTATGTTACATTCAGTTTTATTTTTGGTTGTTGGAAGTGATTTAGATAACTTTTTATTTAGTTTAGATAACAGTTTTATTTAGTTTATAAAATATTATTATTGAGTGATTACTAAGATTTTGTCTTGCACGTAGCCCAGGTGGCTGACCCGTGTCCAAGCCTTCGGCCCCTCTTCAAGAGCCTGGCAAGCTACTGAGAGTATCTGGCCCACACGGCAAAGCCTGGCAAGCTACCCATGATGTATTTGATATGCCAAACACAGGAGTCGTTACTGGGCCCGCTTGAACAAATAGTTGATCAACGGGAGGAAAGTGCAGTGCAGTGCTACTAAGTTTTAAGTAATGTGATAGAGAATAGGGACTAATAAGAGAGGAAATCAAATAACTCATAGAAACAGGAAAAATACCAGATAATTCACTCGACAGTTGTGAAGTATGATTCTATTTCACATAGATGAAAATTAAAAAATTGAGAAACATGGCAGATGGAGTCACTATTTCATGTCTTCATTGAGTGAAGACAGACAGTAAAAGACAAAAAATATGCAGCATGCAAAAGAATTAATGTCAGATTAGAAGGGAATAGTGGAGATTTCCAAATGTGCAAGAAATAAAATACCATAGCCAAAAATAATTTAAAAGAAGCAAATGATTTGGTTAACTCAGTATAATGCATACACACAGATGTATAATAACTTTATGTTAAAGTACTAATGTTTTTGTCTCCTTTAAATTCTTCTCTTGAAAGAGATCGTGAAAAAATTCTCAGCACTTGGTATCTAAAAAAAAAGGGAGCAATGAAAAAAATCTGATTTGAACACTATCATTTGTTTCATGTTTATCTCTTGCCTGTTAGCAGATCTCAGAAAAGAATCATAGCACTGATTGTCAACTTGATAAACTTGAAGATGACTGGCACTATATTATCACTTTCTTCCTGCAACATGTTAGAATTTTTGAATTGCAACACACTTCATACTTTCCTCATTTTTTTATATTTTTTAATTTTATCAATAGTTCACAATATTTCATTACATTTAATATTCAAACACCAATCCCACCACCATTACACTTCCCACCACCAAATTTTGTGTGTTTTCATCCCCAATCCCCAATCCCCAAAACAGAACTGAAATAATATATTTTGTATTGTTTGTTATGAAAAACTGCTGAAAATGCTACACAAAAGTATTTTTAGAGGAACGAAGATGAAGATTCTTGTATTCCACCCAGGGGCCATTAAGCCCTTCTATAAGAGATCACTAACGTGTAGTTAGTAGTTGAGCCTTGTGTGCTTTTATATATAGATATGTATCTGTAAAAAAATTTCCCTCTAGGGGGCTGGAGTGATAGCACAGCGGGTAGGGCATTTGCCTTGCACGCGGCCAACCCAGGTTCGATTCCCAGCATCCCTTATGGTCCCCTGAGCACCACCAGGAGTAATTCCTGAATGCAGAACCAGGTGTAGCCCCTGAGCATCGCCAGGTGTGACGCAAAAGCAAATAAATAAATAAATAACTTAAAGTTTTTTAAAAAATTTCCCTCTAATACTGGGTTCTCTCCTACTTTGAACTGCATCAATTGTGGTGCGGTACTCTTGGAGTATGGGTAGTAGGGTGTGTGGTATGGAGTGTACGGGCCTGCAAATGTGGCCGTGCTATCCAGTAATTGATACTTTTGTGGGTGATTCTTGGCCCCACCATGTATAGAGCAGCCATGTGCATGGCAGCCGCTGAGTCCTGGAGGTTTTCGGCTGCTGGGGCTGGGTCACTTGAGGCGGGGAGGGCTCTCACTGACCCTCTCCGGGGTGCTCCGAGTGAACCAGCCTGGTGCAGGGTTCGCAGGCATGGTTATGGAGAGTGTCATGTTTGGCACCCTTCCAGAAGAGAAGGACATGCGATCTCGCTTTAAGTCCATTTTATCTGTCTCTCCCATGTATGTCTCTCCACTTACTTGGCATTCTTAGTTCTGTCGTCAGGGGCAAGGGTCATTTGATACTTGAAATTCCCCTGTTTCTTTTTTTCTTTATTACCACAAAAGAGGAACATCCAGTACTTGTTCTTCTCCTCTGACTTACTTCCCTGACCATGAAACCCTAGTTTCATCCAAGTTGCCAATGAACTGTCTGTGTTTAAAATTAAAATTTCACCTTGATGTATATAGAAGAATGACAGGAGGGAATGAATGTTCATGGGCAGGGGGCAGGGACCTTGTGTGCATTGGTGGTATAGAGACGTGGTATAGGCATGCATATACATGTACATATGTGGTTTACATATGTATAAATAATTTTATATACCATTAGTTGTATTTATACTTCTTTTCTATACCTGGCTTAAATACAAAAATTATTTATGATATGCTGAATGATATTATGTATATATATATATATATATATATATATATCAGAGCCAAGCATATTGCAAGAATTAGATTGGGACTACAACTACCAAACTAAAAAATGTGCCTGTCCGGAACAATAGTACAGTGGATAGGACATTTGCCTTGTGTGAGGTCCACGGGGATTCTCTCCCCAGCATTACATATAGTTCCTCAAGCTTCCAGGAATGATTTTGAGCAGTGAGACAAGAGTAGATCCTGAGCACTGCTGAGTATAAACCCACACAAACAAACAAAGAAACAAAAAGTGTTGCCTGTCGAGGCAGGCTGGTGCGAACTTGGCGACATTGGCAGAGGGGAGTTTAGCACTGGGGTTGGAATTGGTATTGGAATATAGAATGCCTGAAATGCAATCACAAGTAACATTGTAATTGAAGTGCCTTAATATTTTGTTTTTAAAATTTTTAAATACGAAATTGACTTGGATTATTTTATCATATTAATAAAGAGTCTTTATTCTTTTATCTCTGTTCAAATGTGATAAAACTTATTTAAAAGCCACAATAGTACATCAATTATGTGTACAAGGTAGCAATTTAAATGCTTATGCATGTATTTTGGTGGGGGGCCACACTTGGCTGTGCTCAGGGCTTACTCCTGGCTCTGTTATCAGGGGTCACTCTTTGTGCCATGGGATCAAACCCAGAGTAGTTGGGTGCAAGGCAAGTACCTTACTCACTGTACTTTCTCTCTGGCCCTAATTTTATTTTTATTTATTTATTTATTTTTTAGGTACAGATGTAGACTTACAAATTTTTGTACTTGGGTTTCAGTTATACAATGATTGAGTACCCATCGCTCCACCAGTGCCCATTCTCCACCACCAATGAACCCAGTAGCCCTCCCACGCCCCATCTCCATATCCCACCCTGCCTCTGTGGCAGGGCACTCCCTTTTGTTCTCTCTCTCCTTTTGGGTGCTGTGGTTTGCAAAAGAGGCATTGAGTAGCAATCATGTTTGGTCTATAGTCTACTTTCAGCATGTATCTCCCATCCTGGGAGGATCTTCCCAACACCCTTTATTTGATGCTCCCTTCTCTATCTGAGCTGCCTTTTCCCCTAGTGTGTGCAGCTGGTCTCCAAGCCATGGAGTAAACCTCCTGGTATTTATCTCGGCTATTCTTGGGTGTTAGTCTCCTATTTTGTTACTTTATGTTCCCCAAATGAATGCAATCTTTCTATGACTGTCCTCTTTCTGACTCATTTCGCTTAGCATGATACTTTCCATACAGTACCACTCGTATGTAAATTTCATGACTTCATTTTTTTCTCACAGCAACATAGTACTCCATTGGGTAGATGTCCAAAGTTTTTTTAACCAGTCATCTGTTGTTGTGCAGTCAGGTTTTTTTTTTTCCAGATTCTAGCTATTGTAAACTGTGCTGCAATGAATAAACGAGTGTAGATGTCAATTTGACTATACTTTTTTTGCCTCTCCGGGGTATATTCCCAGGAATGGTATTGCTGGGTCGAATGGGAGCTCAATTTATAATTTTTGGAGAATCAACCATACTGTTTTCCAAAAGGGCTGAACTAGCTGCATTCCCACCAGCAGTGGAGGACAGTCCCTTTCTTGACACATCCAGGCCAACACAGGTTGTTTTTGTTCTTTTGGATGTGGGCCAGTCGCTCTGGTGTGAAATGATATCTCATTGAGGTTTTGATCTGCATGTCCCTGATGATTAATGATGTAGAGCATTTTCTCAAATGCCTTTTAGCCATTCGGATTTCTTCTTTGAGAAAGTTTCTGTTCATTTTGTCACCCCATTTTCTGATGGGGTTGGATGTTTTCTTCTTGTGGAGTTCAACCTGTACTTTGTATATCCTTGATATCAACCCCTTGTCAGATGTGTATTTGGTGGATATCCTTTCCCATTCTGTAGACTGTCTTTGTATTTTGGTCACTGTTTTTTTTTGAGGTGCAGAAGCTTCTTAGTTTAAGACTGTCCCATTTGTCTATCTGTTTTCACTTGCTTGGCCAGAGGCGTGACATCTTTGAAGATACCATTAACCTCCAAAAGCCTCCCATGTCATGGAGGGTTTTGCCAACTTTGTCTTCAATATACCTTATGGATTCCGGTCTGATGTGAAGATCTTTAATCCATTTTGATCTTACTTTTGTACATGGTGTTAGGCAGAGATCTGAGTCCACTGTTTTGCATGTAGACATCAAGTTTGGCCAGCACAATTTGTTAAAGAGGCTTTCCTTGCTCCACTTCACATTTCTTGCCCCCTTATCAAAGATTAGGTGATCATATGCTTGGGGGTAGATGTCAGTATATTCAACCCTGTTCCATCTGCCCAAATTTTAATATTATCTTATCTAACTGGAAACCTTTTTTAAAATGTTTGTTTTTACTGAAATATTGTAAGGTACAGAGTTAGAAATCTGTTCATGGTTGGGTTTCAGTTGTATCTCAATATCAGACCTGAATCCATTTGCTACTTGGAAGAAAATGTACGCAGAACCCTCCACAACATTGAAGCTAAAGGCATCTTCAAAGATGAAACAGCACCGGCCAAAGAAGTAGAAGGAAAAAGAAACAAATGGGACTACACTAAACTAAGAAGCTTCTGTTTCTCAAAAGAATTGGCGACCAACGTACAGAGACAGACCACTGAATGGGAAAAATTATTCACCCAATACCCATCAAATAAGGGGGGAATATCCAAGATATTTCAGACACTGGTAAACCTTTACAAGAAATAAAACATCCCACCCATTAAAATATGGAGAGAAGAAAAGAATAGAAACTACCTCAAAGAAGAAATACAAGTGGCCAAAATGCACATGATAAAATGCTCTACATTGCTAATCATGATGGAGATTCAAATCAAAACAACAATGAGATATCATCTCACATCAGAGACTGGTACACATCTACAAGCACAAGAAAAACCATTTGCTGGCATGGGTGTGGATAGAAAGGGATTCTCTTTCATTGTTAGTGAGAATGCTGACTGATCTAACTCTTTTGGAAAACAATATGGACATTCCCCAAGAAACTAGAATTTGAGTTCCCATTTGAAACAGTAATTCCACTTCTAGGAATAAAGGTATCCCAGAAATGGAATAAAGTGGAAGACTATTTCTGTATGCAATTCTATTAAATGTGTGTGTCCTCTTGGTAGCTGTGAAGCATGGGCAGGTAGAGCAAGTGTTGTGCGTGTTATGTAAGGAGTTCATGACATGGTTTGTCATGACAACCTTATAATTTCATTATAACTTTTCACCTCTCCTTATACATGAGAAAGTGGAGGTTTAGAAAACTTGAGTCCCCACCATTATCATACAGATACTGACTGATTTTTCAATTTAATACAGTAAACCAGGTAAGGAAAATACAGGACCAATTGAAGAACAGATCTAAGAAGTGAAGCCAAAGATAGGTACTGATTATTCTGAAAGAAAGTGCTGAAGAATGAACGTTCTGATCTTGGTCTTTTAGAATATCCCTGGGAAGACAGACAGATAGAAGCTGGACTATGTCTTGGCATCTGAGAAGAAGCAGAGATTGGGAGAAATGAAAAATCAAGGTGTAGAGATGGACCAAATAATGGCTTGATTACAGAGGAATGTCTAAGAAACACTCCAGAATAATAGAGTCCAGGCTTTAATATGTTACTTTACATCAAGAAATATCGTCTGGAACAGACAGGTTTGGGTTCAGGTAGTTTTAATGAAAAGGTAAATGGCTCCACACAGCCTTGTGCATCTTTGTAGAATTCTCCCTGGAGAGGAGACATTGAAGAGGTCAGAGGCCATTGCTATGACATTTTCTGATGTATTGATTTGATCCTGAATATGACAGGAATTCGAGAAAACCTTTTGAGCATAGCATGGAGACTTTGCCTGAAAATTATCCTAGAAGTCTCACTAGGGGAGAAGGAAAGTGAGGAGAGTTTAACACACCTTGATCATTCTATTTATGATTGTTCTAAATATAACCCTTTCTAATTGCCTTCCCCTGTTAGGTATTATTAATATTTGGTAACTAACTTGACTGGCTGACAGTCTCAGACTCTACCTGGCCAATGTTGTTGTATCTTGTTTCAACATAATGTCTTAGAGAATTTATATCTATTGGAATAGTCCATCACATGCTATTTTGTATATATGAACTCATGTTTTACGGGTTGTCTGAAAAAGTAAAACTCTTCTTTTTCTTCTTACTTGTAGGACCCAGAAGGGGGAGAAACGTCCATGTCAGGAAAAATCAAAAATCCTGGAATTGTAACTTTCCCTGGTTTCAAGATTCAATACCATCAAAAGTATTTAAAATTATTCATTGTTGAAGTTCTTTTGTTTATAAGCAGTAGATGTACCTGGGGCTGGAATGATAAACCAGCGGGTAGGGCCTTTGCCTTGCACGTGGCCGACCCTGTCAACCCGGGTTCGATTCTCCCACCCCTCTCGGAAAGCCTGGCAAGCAACCGAGACAATCTCACCTGCACGGCAAAGTCTGGCAAGCTACCCGTGATGTATTTGATATGACAAACACAGTAACAACAAGTCTCACAATGGGGATGTTTCTGGTCCCGCTCGAGCAAATCGATTAACAAGGGGGGAACAGTGCTACAGTGCTAGAGATGTACCTGGAGTTATGGCATGTATTTGTGGAGACATTTATATATGACTAAAAATGTCTGATGTAAAGAAAGTTTGTTTCTGACTATTTCTCAAACCCAGTGAGTGTCCTTTCTCACCTTCCTACAGAGACATCTACACAGCCTTCTCTGTAGCAAGAAAAGTGTTTGACAGAGCTTGACCAGTGCCAGCACCAAGCTAGTCTGCTCTATCCGATTCAGTGAACATGTTTCATGGAAAAAACCAGGCCGGGGACACTGTGAGACAGACACTGCCCCAAAGTTTCTAAGAGTTTTCTAGAAAAGAAAGATGTTGTAAATGGACTAAGTTCACTAGTTTGTGTCTCAGAGTCTGCAAAAAGATTCAAATTACTTCAGAGAAAAATTCCTAGGATATTCTGTGATATATATGGATAATTTCATCTTGGATAATGTCTTGAAACCCTAACACTCCAACATACAGAGGAAATGAACATTTATGAATCCCCCCATCCTTGTGTGCCAAGAACTCAGTTCCTTAATTTTTCTCTTTTCCAGTTAAGAATAGTAAGTATCAGAGAAATTTTCAGGCCTATTCAGGCCATGTAGCATTACAAAAGTTAACTGAAATGAGAACCCAGAGCCACGTGATGACTAGGTGCTCCTTTGCTCTTTCCTTTATCCATACCTCCACTCTAAAATTATTTTGGGGGCTGGAAATGTGGCTCATGGGTAGAGTAAATGCTTTGCATATGTGAAGTCTTGATTTTCATTCCTGACACTGAAAAAAAAATCACAGCATCTTTGAGTTTTCCAGTCTTTGAAACTGCATTTGATCACTTTAAGCTTCATCTTATCAAATGTTCCTAAAGACATAATCCATGTTTCTGTCCCATAGTATATTCTATGGTATCTAGTAATATGACAGAACTCTAAATTGGTTGACCATTACCTTTAAATTTAATTTTTTTCAAGCTTAATATAAGGTATGGTATACCAGAAAATGTACAGCAAGAAAGAAATTACAGTATGCATGCAACTCTTCTTAAAAATGCATATCTTTATCTAGAATTTAAAAATCTTTTAGGCATAGTATATTAGGTCATCCACTGTGGTCATTGTCCATTAGCACAGAATTGTGACCAAGGATTTTAAGAGCCAGAATGATCAATGAAAGTCCAACTTTGCATCTGTGGCCCTGGGCAAGTTAATTTATCTCTCTGAACAACATTTTTCTGATAATAAAATTGAGATAATAACATAATGTATTCTTAAATATTTATTGAGGATTGAATGAGTTGACACACAAAGTAATGATCACAATTCTTAATCCTTACTAAAAGTTCATTTGAATAGTAGATATAATCAGTGGGTGACTTAGAGTTATGATTTGAGATGACCTAATTTTTTCAATGTTTGTTTTCACAGGTATGGTTTATGGACTATTAATGCTAAGTACAGAGAAGACTTCACAACAACAGGAACTACACAATTTGAGTTTAAGGAATCTGGTAATATCTCGAAAAAGACATCCAACAGAATACCCTCAGAAATGATTGTACCCGGCATTTGGAGTTACTTATTAGTCGCTTGAACTACTGTCATAAACTCCTTGCTCTGCTTATCTCTGACAGAGAGAAGCAGCCTGAAGATATGTTTGTTTTGCCTTTTACCAACTGCTTTGGTGACCTTGGTGTCAAATTTCCCTTCACTCCCTTGGTTTAGTTTTCATTTGAAAATTAATTTATGTTCTACGGGCTGGAGAGATAGCACAGCGGGTAGAGCGTCTGCCTTGCATGCAGCCAACATGGCCGACCCGAGTTCTATCCCTCTGCCCCTCTTGGAGAGCCCGGCAAGCTACCCGTGACATACCCAATATGCCAAACACAGTAGCAACAACGTCTCCAATGGAGACGTTACTGGGTCCGCTTGAGAAAATCGATCAACAACGGGAGGACCTTACCTTTACCCTACTTATGATGTTCTACAGATTTTAATGTCTTGCTGCGGTGAGAGTTTGAGATTGATGGTTGTATTTGGGATCGAATGAAAGAGAGTCGCTAAACATACTAATGAATCAACTTATTTTCAATTTCATGAATACCTGTGAGCATCATCAAACACTACATAAAGTAACAGAAAAAGACCTTTACACAATAAGCAAAACTGAATCTTGGTCTTATCAGGTTTTTTATCGTAGCACAGGTGCTTCAGTGAAGATAGCATTGCTAGAGGAAAGATGAGGTTCATCCCTTAAGGTGATGAGGAGACTCCTCATGTTTGTGAATTGTGGGAATGACAAGGAGAAGAATATATATATATATATTTTTTAATTTTCATTAGTGAAACACCATGAGGTACAGTTGTAGACTAACAAATTTTTTTGCTTGGGTTTCAGTTATGCAATAATTGAGTACGCATCCCTCCACCGTGCCCATTCCCCACTTCCAGTGCTCCCAGCATCCCTCCCACCCCCAAACCCCTACCTCCCAACCCACCCCTGTGGTAGGTCCCTTTTGTTCTCTCTCTCCTTTTGGGTGCTGTGGTTTGCAAAAGAGGCATTGAGTAGCAATCATGTTCGGTCTATAGTCTACTTTCAGCATGCATCTCCCATCCGGGGAGGATCTTCCCAACACCCTTTATTTGGTGCTCCCTTCTCTATCTGAGCTGCCTTTTCCCCTAGCATGTGTAACTGGCCTCCAAACCATGGAGTAAACCTCCTGGTATTTATCTCGGCTATTCTTGGGTGTTAGTCTCCTATTTTGTTATTTTATGTTCCCCAAATGAATGCAATCTTTCTATGTCTGTCCTCTTTCTGACTCATTTCGCTTAGCATAATACTTTCCATGTAGTACCACTTGTATGTAAATTTCATGACTTTATCTTTTTTAACAGCTGCATAGTTCTCCATTGTGTAGATATACCAAAATTTCTTTAACCAGTCATCTGTTATCTGTTCTCAGGCACACGGTTCTTTCCATATTTTGGCTAATGTGAATAGTGCAATAATGAACATAGAAGTGCAGATGTCATTTCGACTGTACTTTTTTGCCTCGCTGGGATATATTTCCAGGAGTAGTATTGTTGGGTCAAATGGGAGCTCAATTTCTAAGTTTTTGAGAATCTTCCATACTGTTTTCCAAAAGGTCTGAATCAGTTGGCATTCCCACCAGCAGTGAAGGAGAGTCCCTTTCTCGCCGCATCCATGCCAACACTGGTTGCTTTTGCTCTTTTGGATGTGGGCCAGTCTCTCTGGTGTGAGATGACATCTTGTTGTTTTGATCTGCATCTCCCTGATGAACAGTGATGTAGAGCATTTTCTCATGTGCCTTTTAGCCATTCGAATTTCTTCTTTGGGAAAGTTTTTGTTCATTTCATCACCCCATTTTATGATGGGGTTAGATGTTTTCTTCTCGTAGAGTTCAACCAGTGCATTGTATGTTCTTGATATCAACCCTTTATCAGATGGGTATTGGTAAATATCCTTTCCCAGAGAAGGATATTTTTGTTATTGATATTTATCCCCTTGAAGCAAAATTTTCTATTTGAATATCAGTTATAATAAATGTATTATTTCTTGCTGATATTTCTTTTTAGAACATAAAGATGATATCTTAGTAGAACCAGAAAACAATGTTATTAGCCATAAAAACCTAGAGGACTTCAAGATTAATATAAAAGCTAGGTAAGAAAATTCTTATTTTCTGATTCATTAAGCCTCTGAATGCAAAAGCATCAAATTTAGGGGGCGAGTCAAATATGATGATTTCCAGTGCTTTTGTGTTGAAAAAGACTGATTCAAAATTTAAAATAATATAATTAAAAATAACTGCCATAATTACTGCAGGTGAGTTCAATGCTTGTCAAAAGTATATTGTTTATTTGGTACTTGAAGGTGTTTTATAATTTTGTAATAAATAATCAAAAGTATTGAATATCACACTGACTAGGTGACTATAGTTACTTGGGAAAGTGGTATGTGATATTAAAAAAATCTCTTCTTTTTATTTGTGGAAGTTAATATTACTTAATGATACAACTTAATTTTCTAAAATTGCTCTGGAAATTATTGAACAGCTCCAGAAATCATACTTGCAGGCAAACTGATAAGAACACCAGTGTGCTGCCTTATATGTAAATAGAGTTCATGTTTTTCTTTTAACCAAAAGGTAAATATGTGGCTTATCGTAGGATAACCTTGAGGGAGGGACCTTACATCTATTGATTGTATGAGGACACCTATGTGTAATTACTACCCTAACCCCCTCAAGATTTGGGTGATAACTAGGCTGCAAGAGGGGCTTAGGGAGAAGGAGGAAAACTGGGCAAGGGGAGAGTGAAGGAGAATCCAAGAGAGGAATCAAGGAGAATCCAAGGGGAGAATCAAGGAGGATTGGGGGAAGGGAATCAGGAGAGAATGGAAATGAGATTGGAATAAACTTCAATTGATACTAACCAGCCTGGCCTGCATTTCCTCCTTCATCTGCCATTGGCTGTCCGGGGTGGGAGCAGCTGCCGGAGACCACCAAACGCAGGCCAAGTAAAGAGCTTCGGGCTTTGTATTTGTTTTTTGAATACATAGCTCATGTACAAATAATTTGCCTCCAGTACACATGAGATCAATGTGACATTAACTCTTTTATTAAAAGGTCAGCATAATGTTAATGGCTCCTTATACAGACACACGGGTTTAAACTCAGTTCTGTGCTAACTTATTCTGTACTTAAAATACATGGAAGTGGAATAAATTCTTTCTGTCACCTTGGAACTCAAGTTCCTCATTTGTCAACAGTAATGGAAATGCTACTGTACTTGAGCACTGGTGGACTCTGAATGAACACATTAGTGAACATCAACACTGTTTCCAGAGAGAAAAGCAAATTTCTAGTGCTTATTCTAGATTTCATTAATAAAATTTCTTTTTAGAAAAGGAGTTAAGGGCTGGAAAGATGGTATGGCATTATGGCACTTGCTCTGCAAGGAGTTGACTTCTGTTTGAATCCCGGTTACTGCATGTGGTCCCTGAGCATAAGTCAGGAGATAGCCCTGAAAACTGCTGGTGATTTCTCCCCAAGGACCCAAATGCCCAAAACAATAACAACAAAATCCCCAAAAAGTTAACCATATTTTCTTTTAACATATATTATGATAGGAATATTCGTGAGGGGGATGTTTTTGTCTTATTTGGAATAAAAGAAGATTTAGATGATAACGGAAAAGAAATGTTGCTTGCCGGAATACAAAAGACAAAGGTAAGAAGAGATAAATCCATCTTTACAGAAATGGAGAATTGGGGCAACCTAACCAGAATATATAGAATAAAAGTGGACTTTCCTCTTTAAGAGTTTACAGAACTCTCAAAGCCAAACCAATAAGACATTGGGCTTTGATAATATATATGATTTTGCTTCCAAACCCTGCTTTCTAAAGAAGTCTCATCCTTTTGTGAACCTGATATCCTGCACTTTAAATTTGGATCCATCAGATACAGTGTTAAGCAATTTCAGTCTCAAATTTTTAATGTGATTAGACATCAGAGATTTTCAGTCCCATCAAAATCTTCTTTCCTAGGGAGGAAGAACATGACCTGAAGCTGAAGGCTTAAACGGAATGATCCAAATAATTTCAATGTCCATTTTTGGCGACTGGTGGTGGAGAGGGGAAAGAGGTGTGTGGGTGGGAAGAGCTAGTGGGGTGTGCAGGGAGGTTTAGACCACACTCTGCGAAGCTCAGGGGTGACTCCTGGCTCTGCACTCAGGAATTACTCCTGGCGATGCTGAGGGACCATAAGAAATGTAGAGGATTGAACCCTAGTGTGCTGTGTGCAAAGCGAACGCTGTACTTGCACCAAACAATGCCGTTTTTAAGTGAAAATTTTGCAGACAGATGAAAGGATAACTTACGGTTATTTCTCTATGCGATCTGTAAATTATTGCCTCTCCCTTTTTGTCCTCTTTTGAAAAAAAGCTGCTTGATGGTGTTGCACAGATCAGTTTTAATACTACAAAGGAAATTAAAAACTTAAATAAAAGTTCAGAAGATTTAAATGACAAGTACCTTAATGTTTTTGTGGACATAGGTACAGGTAAGTTTCTATAGTAATGTAGAAATTCATTTCTAATTGCTTTTCCTTATTCCTATTATTCCAGCATCCCCCTTTATTTCCCTTTGTTCTTTTGCCCGGACCTAAGTCACAGTTATGGTTGGGTTGTGATTCTGCAAAGTTGATTGCAATGCACAACAGGAATCACAGTTCTGGTTTTGACATACATGCCCTTGGCCTTTGGGTTAGCTCACTGTCATATGTATTAGTTTTAGTAGAACTTGTGCAATTTCTGGCAATAGCTACTGATAATGATATGACCCCAGGGGTCATCTTACAGTTCTTTCATATTTCAAGGTCCACAGTTTAATCGGTAACTGATATTGATTCAGTATTTGGCAAGTACAGTCGCTCTATCAAAATACTATCCATGAGCTTCATGGAGATGGAGTGCTTATTATTCTGTACTGCCTTATAAAATAAAAAATTAAAAGAAATATAAAATAAAAGTTTCTTCTATAATAGTGACCCACCAAATCATGTCTGCAAAAGATAACCTTTTATCATAAAGAATAAATGCTGGTGCTATCTGGAAATTTTACTTGCACAAACAAATTATAAAAACTTCACTGTCATTTGGATGCCCTCTTAAAATTTTTAATGAATACCACAAGATTTCTTTTTATCACACTGACACAGGTGAGGCAGGTCTCTGTGTTCCTTTGTTATTCCCGGGTCCTTCAATACTTTCAAAAATGAAAATATTGAATAATGAAGTTGTTCAAAGTTGGAAAGTAGAAAAGTTTATTGGAATGCAGAAGAGAAAAGAAAAGGAGCTCCCCAAGTGGAGGAATTTAGTATTGGACTAAATTAAAAGGGAGTTTTGTGTAACCCCTTCTAAAGGCTCTCTGGTCAATTGAATTTTTTGATATTCAATTGATAAATATGACAGAGGATGCAAAAAGTTATAGATAAAGGCTCTTCTCATAGACACTTTTAAATGGAAATTGGGATCTTTACCCTTCTTATTAATTACTTTACTGGTTTAGATTTCTTGCCTGTTACCTCAGGCATTGTGGGCTACCTTTGAGCCTAAGCTCCAGGGCAGAATTTTATGGTCCTGGGTAATTCCTGGAATATTAAAATAGAACCTTGGGGATGAAGTATGTGGTAGGTGGATGGGAAGTGGCAAGAAAAAACTGTGACTTTCTCAATGAAAAGGGGAAACTGAGGCTGCCTCCTTCAACATTGCCCAGAAATTCTTTAACTGTGGCTTAGAAATAATAACAAGCTTTGAGAACATATGTTCATGTATCTTCCCACAGGAAAGTGTACACTTCAGGACCTAAGACTATGTCTATTTTCTATATCAATTTTTCAATGAGAAAATGAGATAAATTATCTGATAAATCAAATGGTCTAGACAAGAACCGTTGTATGGTGTCTCACCAATAAAAATTTAAATAAAAAAAAGAACAAAAAAGAACATAGTTGTTGAATCTGATGAATGGAAGTCTTGCTAACCTCCTTGACAATCACAATATTGGTTCGTGGAAGAGTCAGGTTCTTTCAGTATATGCAGAGAAATCATCCAAATATAGGGTTGTAATTCTTTTTTAAATGACCAGGGAATAAAAAAATGGTATATTGGTATATTCTTAACCAAATGAAGAAAGGCACGGGGGGGGGGAGGGGCAAGGAACTTGAAGATGTTACATTGTGCATGCCATATTTTCAGAGTAATACATATTATTTCCACCAGGTTTTTTCCATGAAAACAAAGTAACTGATATCAAATACAGCTTCTCTCCCTACACTCTGGACTTGGTTGCCACTCCTCTTTTCCTGAAGCCTGGAATTCCATTTCCCATCAAGGTGAGATGAATAGAAAATTAAATATGGTACATTTTGAGTCTGTGGTGGGCAAAGAATCTCTGAGAGCTATTGCTCCTTTGTGGACTACAAGGTAGATAATAAAATGGAGAAGAGATTGAGAGGACAAAGAGTAAGACAAGGCAATCGTAAAGACTGTAATGCGAAAAGGAGAACAAAAATGATAACAACAAACATTAAGATACTGGTCTGGCAATAATTTTACCAATCCGTGTCAAACACTAATCTAACAATTCTGTCACTAGACTTTGAACTGAATGTAATTATCATATATATACATATAGCTGAAATTCTTAAAACACAACATAGTAGAAATGAATTTGATTACTAGCTTAAATCTAGCATTTTGTGCCTGGGAGTGAAAGAGGGAATTTGCTTAGGTTTGCTTGTAAATGATTCAGTGGTGGAGATAGAGGGAAGGTGCAGGGGTTCCTGGAATATTCTTGGGGGGAGCAGATATACTTATGGAGGGTGATATTGGGAAAATGTGTGCATGAAACTATCACTAATAGTACTATAAATCATAGTTCATAAAAAATGGGGAACATTTTTAATAGAAAAGTCATGACCGTATAAAGGATATGTGTGTTATGTTTATTACATTATTTGCTACCATAAAATATAGACTAATCTATTAAAACTCAATGCTAGCTTTTGTTCAGTTTCCTATATTGTTACAATTAATGGTGTTAACTAGCTATTGAAATGGATTTTTTCCAATAGGTACAGGTGAATGCTGCTGACCACTTTGTAGGAGGGGTTACAGTAATATTGGAAGGAAAAACATTCGATAAAACCCTGAGTACAGACCTGGGTATAATGCAAAGTACCACAAATTCTGATGGAGTAGCCTCATTTATCATTAACATTCCCTCTAATGTGGCAACACTGGATTTTCATGTAAGCAGAATTATCATGTGTTGTACTTCAAATGTACTTAAGCCTGTGCAGTAATTATTGTGCTGGATAGAATGGAACGTTTTTTTGCCTGTCTCATGAACTTCTCACAAACACAAAAAGTACAATTTCACATACTGAACATTCCATGAAGGGCATGATCCTTTTAGTTCTATATCTAGGAGTTAAGTTTTTTGCTGCTTTTTCTAAATATTGTACCACTTTGAGTGACAAATTAAACCTAGATCAACAATGGAATACAAGAATTAGTCATCGCTATTATTTCCTATTTTCATCCTCTCCTTCAATTCACAGGTGAAATCAGAAATTTTTTAATTCTCTTTTCCCCCTTCCAAATCTCCTCAAATTATTGAAATCTGTATTATGCACCTGCTGCAGCATTGAAAGTGTTCTCACTGAAGCTATCTGTGTGCTTTGCTAAGCTCACAGTAATGTTTTCAGTCCTCTTTCTAGCTCTCTGGAAGGCAAATAATTGGTGGGCCAAGGGACATTTTCCCTTTAAACAATCTATTATTGCCTTCTGTAGTTCACTTGTTTTTGTGCTCTGTTATTTTATTTTTGTCTTTTTGGAATACACCTACTGGTTCTTGGGGTCTCCCTTAGTGACATTTGGAGGGCCAGGATAAAACATAGGCACATGTTAGCCCGTTATGCTCTCAGTTCCCTCTTATTATTTCCTTACTTTAAAACTTTTCTTCTTTTCCCTCTTCTTTTAGCCTTCACTTTTGATCAGTAATTCCTTGTTTGTTAGCAACTTTGGGGTGATTCTCAGGTTATTTTCACTCTAACCTTTCTTCTTATATGACACATTTTAGTTGAAATATTTCTATGATTCAGTCTTCTCTAAAAGATGATATTAAAGACATTCTATGCCATCAAGACACTTCTATAGATTAATATTTTCACGTTTTTTCATTTTGTGGGGAGAAGAGGGCCATATCAGGCAGTGCTAAGGAGTTCCTCCTGGCTCTGAGCTCAGCGATCATACCTTGAATGCAGAGGGGACCATATAGAGTACCACAAAATAATCCGTAATCAGCCATGTGCAAAGCAAGTACCTCACCCACAGAACTACGTCTCTGGTTCCACATTTTCACATATTTTTAAAAGTATAGGACTTAATTTCTTAATTTTTTCAGTCACGCTCAGCACTACTCAGTACTTATTCCTGGATCTGTGGTCAGGGATCATTCCTGGTGGGGCTCAGGGAACAAATGAGATGCTGGAGAGCAAACCCAGGTTGGTCACATACCACTCAGGCAAGCATCCTACATGCTGTACTATCACTCCAGCCCCCATAAGACTCAGTTTGTATAAAACTACATGCCTCCTTCTACCTCCGACCTAGATCTCCTCCACGGTGCCTTGTATTAGCAAACAGTCTGCAACCACCCTGTACCTCTCTCTCCAGACGTGGCCAGAGAGTTGGAGTGTTCTCTCTCAGAGTCACCTCTGATCTCAACTGACCCTGTCCTAGATCCCCTCAATAGACAATGCATACTGCCTGCCCATCATACTTCAAATTCAGTCATCTTAGATAGTTTTCAGGTTCTAAATGTCCTGTTCTCTACTGTTGTAAGGTCTTTGAAACTCTACCTTTTATTCTCCCTGTTCTTTGAGTCTTTAACATATATCTTTTGAGGCCAAATGAGGATGTCTATTTTTCTTCCCTTTTGGTGCTAAGAATTCAACACAGGTGTCACGTAGGCTATATATATATATATATATATATATATATATATATATATATAAAGTAAAGGCCCTCCTATTGTTAATCGATTTGCTCGAGCGGGCCCAGTAACGTCTCCATTGGAGATTTTGTTGTTACTGTGTTTGGCATGTCGAATACATCACGGGTGGCTTGCCAGGCTCTGCCGTGTGGGCAAGATACTCTCAGTAGCTTGCCGGGCTCTCCGAGAGGGACAGAGGAATCGAACTCTGGTTGGCCATGTTGGCTGCGTGCAAGGCAAACGCCCTACCGCTGAGCTATCGCTCCAGCATATATATATATATATATATATATATATATATATATTTATGTGAAACACCATGAGGTACAGTTGTAGACTTACAGGTTGTTGTGCTTGGGTTTCAGTTATACAATGATCGAGTACCCATCTCACCAACAGTGCCCATTCTTCACCCCCACCAATCCCAGTATCCCTCCCACCCCTCCCATGCCGCATCCCACCCTGCCTCTGTGCCAGGGCACTCCCTTTTGTTCTATCTCTCCTTTTGGGTTCTGTGGTCTGCAGAAGAGACATTGGGTGGCAATCATGTTCGGTCTATAGACTACTTTCAGCTTGCATCTCCCATCCTGGGCGGATCTTCCCAGCACCCTTTATTTGGTGCTCCCTTCTCTATCTGAGCTGCCTTTGCCCCTACAGTGTGAAGCTGGCTTTTAAGCCATGGAGTGAACAACCTGGTATTTATCACAGCTGCTCTTGGGTGTTAGTCTCTTTTTTGTTACTTTATGTGCCCAGATGAATGCAATCTTTCTATGTCTGTCCCTCTCTTTCTGACTCATTTCGCTTACCATGATATTTACCATGTAGTACCACTTGCATATATTTTGTCACTGAGTCTCGACCCAAGCCCCAGGAGGATCAACATTAATGCATGTTCTTGAAGGATACATCTCTAAGTACCCTGTGATGTAGGAAGAAGTTTCTCTTTATTTCACTGAGACCTTATGAATTTCCAGTGCCCTCAAATTTCTCAAAAGTATATCCTCTAACCAGTCATCTGTTCTTGGGCACTCAGGTTTTTTCCATATTCTAGCTATTGTAAACAGTGTTGCAATGAACAAACAAGTGCAGATGTCACTTTGACTATACCTTTTTGCCTCTCCAGGGTATATTCCCAGGAGTGGTATGGCTGGGTCAAATAGGAGCTCAATTTCTCATTTTTTGAGAATCGTCCATACTGTTTTCCAAAAGGGTTGAACCAGTCGGCCTTCTCACCAGCAGTGAAGGAGGGTCCCTTTATCACCACATTCGCGCCAACACAGGTTGCTTTTGTTCTTTTGAATGTGGGCCAGTCTCTGTGGTGTGAAATGATATCTCATTGTTGTTTTGATCTGCATCTCCCTGATGATTAATGATGTAGAGCATTTTCTCATGTGCCTTTTAGCCACTCGGATTTCTTCTTTGAGAAAGTCTCTGTTCATTTTGTTGCCCCACTTTTTGATAGGGTTGTATGTTTTCTTCTAGAGGCCAGGCGCACACTTTAGGAGTAAAGGCAGCTCAGATAGAGAAGGGAGCACCAAATAAAGGGTGCTGCAAAGATCTGCCCAGGATGGGAGATGCACGCTGAAAGTAGTCTATAGACTGAACATGATTGCCACCCGTGTCTCTTTTGCAGACCACAGCAACCAAAAGGAGAGATAGAACAAAAGGGAGTTCCCTGCAACAGAGGCAGGGTGCGATGGGGGTTGGGTGGTGGGTGGGAGGGATATTGGGATTGGTGGGGTGGAGAATGGGCACTGGTGGTGGGATGTGTACTTGATCATTTTATAACTGAAACCCAAGCACAACAAATTGTAAGTCTACAACTGTACCTCATGGTGTTTCACTAATAAAACAAAACAAAACAAACAAAAAAAAGTATATCCTCATCACCTTTGTGTCTGTCAACTAAGAATACACACTGAATTAGTAGGAACAAGGAAGTATTAGTTGCCAGAATGGATATATCTATTTCTAAAACTAAAAAGGGTTAAAATAAGTGTCTCCTCTCTCTTATTATTTTCCCTCTGTATTTCACTGTTACCAAGTTATCTCCACAATAATATCTTCAGCAAATAATGTCTAATTCTTCAGTGTCAAGTAAGACATAGACAGGTCAAATATGTGTGGGAAAAAGGATAGGCATAGTATGGCATTTATACTTACAAGAATTCCCCATAACCTTACTCTTAAACAGTTTATCTTTATTTCTGTTCTTTCTCTATCTCCCCAAAAAGAGAGAATATTATTCACCACCTCTTCCATTCATAATGAATGGAATGTTCAAGCTACATACCTGACAAGAAGAAGATTGAGGAATGCAAACACCACCCCTCTCCACACTGATCATCAATCATTTTTATGACTTGTCAATTGCCATCCCATTGCTCATGGATTTGCTCGAGAGGGCACCCGTAACATCTCCATTCGTCCCTGTTGTGTCCTAGTGTAGCCCAATGGCTTGCTCCAGGAACACAATGAACATCAAATCATTCATTCAGGGACTTGACGAAGAAGTCAGACCATCTTGTAGATGGACAGCCAGGTGTTCTTTTGGCATCCCGTGGAATCCAGTCAGTAACAACTCTAGTCCAATGGTCATCTCCAAATCGTATTACGCAAATGTTGTCTTGTTTGCCAAGGCATCGAAAATCAGATGGACCGGGCACATAATGCAATCATCAATAATGATAAATGTTGATTTTTTTATTAATAATTATTGATGCAAGTTGTGAGTCAGCACTTGACATGTTTGTCTCTTATCTTCTTTAGGTCAGAACTGCTATCCCAGACCTTCCAGCAGAATACCAAGCTAGGAAGGAGTATCAAGCAGTGGCTTACTCATCCCACAGTCAAAGTTTCCTTTCACTCAGCTGGCCCTACAGTTACAAGACTTTGTTTGTGGGAGAAATTCTGAGCATAACTATCACCCCTGAAAGTCCTTACATTGACAGTATTACACACTACAATTACCTGGTAAGGTTGACAATATCTACCTTTCATCTAAAAACTATTATGGAAAAAAATATTTGAAAGAATTTTTTACCTGAGACAAATCTGTCCTCAGCTGTTAGTGAATGAGTGTGTGCACTTTGAGATCTCTTTAACGTCTTCTAATTCCTGGAGTGGTAGCCTATAGCATGATGTCAAGGGGTTAAAGTTATTTTTTATTGATTGAAAATTTATGGTTTTCAGTGCTATTAATAATTGTTTCTCATGCACATAATTCCACTATCACACACATCACCAGTGTATGCATCTCCCTCTCCCAAGTACCCCATCATCCCTCCCTTTAATCCCTTCCTCTCTCCAATGGTGTGGATGAGTTCTTCCATTATGCTGCTTTAGGACATTTGTTACTGCATTTCTCTGGCTATGTGTCTTTGAGTCCCACATATGAGAGAGATCAGTCTGTCTCTCCCGTTCTTTCTGATTTCACTCAGCATGATATCGTCTACTTCCATCCATGTAACTATGAATTTTGTTGACAACGTTTTAATGGGAACCTTTATTCAGTCTTCAGACTAGTCATGATCACTACAAGGGATTTAGTTACTAGTATTTAGTTAAAATGAAAAAGAATTTTAACTATATACTCAAGAAAAGATGCAGCATTTCCAGGCAATTATTGTTTAAAAACCATAATAGTTTTTATAGTTTAAAAACTATAAAAACCAGCTCCCGGAAGAGAACAGTGCAGTCTCCTGCCCCCGCGCCTGTCTGTCGTCGCTGGGGCCCCTTGGCGGGGAGCGGGTTGAGCTTTCCTCCCCGCCCCGACCAGGGCTCCGGCAGACGAAGACCTCCAGGACCAGCCACCACCATGCTGAGACCACTCTCCGCACACCTGAAGGTACCGGCAGAGGAACAAAGGCAAGCGGGTCCCAGGGCTGAGATCTCCAAGCCTACTCGGTTGGGGGCTGAGCATCCGCCACCCAGATCCTCTGAATTCCAGTAGGCTGGGGTCACACCCACCAACTGGCCCCCTGGCGCTGTGTAATCCCATCAACGGCCAAGACTCAGAGACTATAAAACCCAGCTCCCAGACATCTTTTTATGACATCTTATTTTCTCATTCCTACTTTGGACAAACTGGCAGGCTACCGAATGTAACCTCCCACACGGCAGAGTCTGGCAAACTCCCCGTGGCGCACCCAATATACCAAATACCAGTAATAATGATGGGTCTCATTCTCCTAAAGAGCCTTGAATATAGCACTTTCTTAAAAATCTCAGGGCTAGGATGAAGGAGACGTTACTGGGGCCTGCTCGAGGCAATCGACAAATAACAGGATGGTCGTGATTCGTCGTGATTGTTTAAAATAAATTAAGGCCCTCATTGTATTTGAAAATCAATTAAATGTCCTTATCCTTATTTATGCACATAAAAATAACTCTCTTCACCTGGGACCAGAGTGATAGTACAGTGGATAGAGTACTTGCCTTGCATGTGGCTAATACCTCATATGGTCCCCCAAGTCCCGCCAGGAGTGATTTCTGAGTAGAGCCAGGAGTATGTCCTGAGCACCATTGGGTGTTATCCCAAAAACAAAACAAAAAATAAATAATTCCCTTTGTTTTATTAAATAATGAATGTTGGATCCCTGAAAAAAAATTAGTTGGACTCAGGGATGGCTCAGTTGTAGAGCATCTGCCATGCAGATATTAGTTCTAAAGTTTCATCTTCAACACAGTCCCATATACTGAGGGTAATCTTGGCACTATTGTTCGGGATTCCTAGACCCACCACAATGTGAGTGCTATCAATGTGTGTGATATCAGTTGTAGGACGTCCAAATGAGTGAGAGCACTTCAATTAAGGTGTGAGATCCTGGCAAACATCACAATCAAATGCAGACAACTCTAGGTCATCAGAACAACAACAATGGGAAGGGAAGGGGAAAATTTTGAAAAAAAAAAACCAAACATTTAATTGTAAAATAGCAAGAACAAGAGCATGAACTATTAAAAAAGACCTGGACTTTGGACCATTATTGTATGGGTTATTTCCTAGATCAATATCTGTTCAGAAAGAAACATTTAATGCAAACAGTTCCACGCTCTCTTTCTTTCTATGTCTAATAACATATTATTTACTAAGCCATTTTATAAACTAGGTAAGAAACTTATTGGTTCTATGAAAGGCGCATTTAGGCTAATGTACAGTTGTTTTGTGTTTTTTTTTAAATCAGGGATGATGTTGGGTCATACTGACAGTTCTTAGGGCTTACTGCTGTCTCTGTGCTCAGGCATGACTTCTTGTGAAGTATAGGGACCATAAGGGGTGCCAGGGATTGAACTTGAGTGGGTCTCATTCATGGAAAAATGCTGTACTATCACCCAGACTGAGCTAATGAACAGTTTGTATCTATATATGAATCTTAATCTGCATATCCAGCAATGCTCAGGGCTTCCTCCTGGCTCTGCACTCAGGAATTATTGCTGGCAGTGCTCAGGAGACCATATGGGATGCTGGGAATTGAACCAGAGTTGGCCATGTGCAAGGCAAATGTCCTACCCGCTGTGCTATCAATTCAGCCCGCTGCATGGTTTATTTAACAATGTCCTTTTTGTATAGACACAGGAAGACAGTTATGCTATGTTTTGTAATATGGGTTAATTGACACCAAAATAATTTTTACTCCTGGGCATTCATATTTACTTGAATTAAGCCTCAGCTGCCTGTAGTTACTAGCACTCCAAAAGGGGGTCCTGATGAAAGGACTGCATGGACCTAGGGCAAGCTGTAAGCTGTGGCATCGAAAAGAGTCAAGCTAAGCACCATAAGTATAAGTTAAGAGCATGGTCATGGACAATTCTGTCATGACCTAAAAATAAGTAACTGATAAGGACCCTGCTGGGGTTAGGAAGGACGATCCTGGCCTGAAGACTATGGTCTGGAATACACAGCACAATGTCCCTAGGAAGAGCCAACCTTACTATATCTCTTACTCTGTTCACAGAAAATGATTAGAAGTATTCTAAGAAGTAAATTTACTATTATTGTTTAAGTGAGTCACTAGCTATGGAAAGGATAAACAATACACCCTGGATGAAATCCTGCCCTTGAGCGGATCTTCTAGTAATCTGGAGTGTTGAACCCTCAGATGAGATTTTTTCCTTAAAATAATCTCCTGAAGAGTGGCTTTACAACTGTTTGTTGCTATGATAATGTTTAATCCCAGCTTTGTGTATCCCCTCCCTTCATGATTTCTATATAACTATGCTGTGAGGGGTAAAGAAAGGACTAGACATTGAAGACTAAGAGGACTTAAAGACGTCTCAAAGACGTAGAGACTTTGCAGACTTTGGGACTTTGGGACTAAAAGAAGGATTAGATGACAATGACTGGAAGTAGAGGACTATGAGACTATGACGAGACAAGGAAGAAGACATAAGAAAGAGAGGACCTTGAGGTCTACGAGGAGACTAGGCTGAGGGAACTATGATGACTGGGACTACGACCAAAACTGTGACTATGACTGTGCCATAAGGGAGAGATGGGACTATGCAAGAGAGGAGAGAGAGTAAACTGACTATCAAATACTGGGGCCTGGGGCCTGTTCCTCCATTCTCATTTGTCCCCATCCGTCAGTCCATCTGTCTGTCCATCGCCATGTGTCATCCAGGAGGTGGTTATTAGCCACTGAATGCTCAAGTCTCACACACATGCCCAGGCACTTTTTCCCTTTGAAACTCACAAAAATTAATTCTTTTCCTCTTCACCATTGGCTCAACTTCTACCCAGCTTTTAACCCAATTTGATGTTTGTTGGTTTCTATGTGTTTTTAGGTTTCTTCTAAGGGAAAAGTTGTCCACTTTGGAACAGAGAAGAAACTCCCAGGTTCATCCTCCCAACTTTTGAACCTTCCCCTGACTCAGCACATGGCTCCCACAGCCTGTCTCCTGGTCTATTACTTTGTCACAGGAGGTCAGACGACAGAATTAGTGTCTGACTCAGTCTGCCTAAAGATTCAAGAAAAATGTGGCAATCAGCTTCAGGTAAGCCACAAACACACCTGTCTGAATTCCTCTTCTGTGAACACTAAGACTGTTTAACCTGACACTAAAATTCTTTCTTTTTCAAATAATTTTTAGATACATCTGTCTCCAAATAAAGATGCACATTCGCCAGGCCATGGTACTTCTCTTACTTTCGAAACTCAGTCAGAGTCATGGGTAGCCTTATCTGCAGTGAAAGTTGCCACACATGAATCTGCAGAAAGAAGCAAAAGTTCCATGGAAAGAGTTGAGTAAAATAACTGCTGTGATTACTGATATTTGACTTGACTCAGCCAAATGACCACCAAGGTTCTGTCAGGCACTGTGGGCTGCCCATAGAAGAAAAATTAAGGAAAAATTACAGTTTTTATAAACTGTAAAATGGGTAGACACTCATTGGCATACCTTTAATTTAGATTTAATTCGATTTAAATTAGATTGAAGGATAATTCACTTCAATTTAAGGATAGAAATATAAATGGCCAGTATTTACTACATTGTTACATTTCTAAGTATCTTTGTAACGACTTACATCTCTAATACTTTTGGTTTGTTTGATTTTGGGATTATACACAGCAAGACTCTAGAGTTTCTCCAGGTGGTTCTTAAGTGACCATGTATTGCAGGGGATTAAATACAGGTTATCTGCATACAAATTGTACACAAATGCAATATCCACAACAATACCTTGAGAAGAATATCAATAATAAGTATAATTGACATGGGGCTGGGTGATAGCTCAAAGGGCTCAAGTGCAGGTTTAATATGCATAAGGCCTGGCTTTGAGTGGCTGCTACCGCATAATTCCTGAGCACTGTCAGGAGCAATCCCCAAGCACTGGACTTGGAGCAACCTTTGTTCATAGCTTGGGTGTGGTCCACATTCCAAATATTAAAAGCAAGTTTTAACACTAGTAGAGTTATTGTGTCTTGATGAAGAAAACTGAATTAGGAATATTTGGTGACTTTATCATCTGAGTTAAATGAGTTAAATCCCAGTACAGGTAGAATTAAGAAACTTTTTTTGGTTGAGTTACCCCTTATATTTATCCATATATTACGTATATCCAATAACTTTATTCTACAATTTATTTTTGCATTATATTATCACTTTGGGACTATCCCTGTGAAATGCCAAATTCCAGTTTGCTCATGGAATAAACTAAAATATAATTACATTCATTTCAGAAACAAACCAATCACAACCAATTTTTTTCTGTCTTACTATCAGTAATTGATGAAAACATCTTGTTTACTAATACATTTGTTGGAAAGAGTAATAATCTTACTGACTCAGATAATTTATTTGAATTTAATTAATTGATTTCCTCAAGTTTAAGAGACTTGGTTACATTGATGTAAACTTTCATGATTTTGATTTAAAAAGTTGTGCCATTACCTACTTCCAGAATGTCTAAGATCCTCTATCACTCTTCCTAGATCACTTCCAGTCCACCTCATCCTTTTTTCCTTTCCCCCCTCTGTTTTGCAATCTTAGTCTATTCTCATTTGATATCTTTATTACCTTGCTTTGTTTTTTATATACCAAGAAGACTAAGGTCATCTGATATTTCTTCTTCTCTAATTTATTTTACATAATATGATACCCTCAGTTTCATCCAAGTTGCAGCAAACTACAAGATTCCACCCTATCCTACAGAACAGTACAGTATCCAACTGTGTATTGATATCACAACCTCTTTATACATTGATAAGCCATGTGGCATTTTAATTGTTTCTGTATCCTTGCTACTATACTAAGTGCTGAACATAGAGGTGCAAACATTTTTAAGAAATTAATGTTTCTCCACTAAGTAAATGATGATCGGAGGGATTCCCCGGGATGGGAGATGTGTGCTGAAAGTAGACCAAGGACAAAACACGATGATCTCTTAGTATCTGTATTGCAAGTCATAATGCCCCAAATTAGAGAGAAAGTAAGAAGGATTATACCTGCCACAGAGGCAGGAAGTGGGATGTGTTTGGGGTGGCTGGTGGGGCACTCGGAATAATGGTGGTGGAGAATGTGCACTAGTGGAGGATGGGTGCTTGAGCATTGTTTGTCTAAAACGCAATCATGCAAGTCTATAACTCTCTCACGGTGATCCAATAAAACTTCTTAAAAAATAAATAAAAATAAAAATTAATATCCCTGTGTTCATGGCACAGAAGCTGAGAATGAGACTAACTTTCTTTTTAAAATTAATTTCTACCTTTATAGCATAATGGTATGAAAAAATTCAAAATGTATTTTTTGTGATTTTGTGGACACTTGAATTGTGCTCAGCATGTGGTGTATTCTAGAATATGTTCCACGTGCATGGAAGAAGAATGTGCATTTACCTTTTGGGTGGTGGAAGGTTCTGTAATTGCCTATTAACTCCAATTCTTTCAGTTCTAAAAGCTCTTGTGTTTTTATTGATATTCTGTCCAATGATGATAGTGGAGTGTTAACGTCTTCCACTGTGCATTGCTACCTATGTATTACCTCAAGTCTACCAGCATTTGCTTTATAAACTTTGCTTTTGCTTTTCAAACTAAACTTCTTTTGGTAATATGAAGTTTTGATAATTGATAATTGATAATATCGATAATAGTTAAGTCTAGTTATTGATAATAGTTAAATCGAGTAATTCCTTGATCAGTATGTAATATCCATTCTTATCTCTTAATAATTTCTCTAACTTGAATGTTATTTGATCTGATAGTTGTATGACTGTCTTTGATTTTTTTGTTTACTTTCATCTTGTAAGATTATTGTTCAATCATTAATTCTGAATATGTGCTTATTGTGAGAGTTCAAGTGTGTCCCTTTTAATCATAAAGTTGATTTTGTTTCCTGATCCAACTAATCAGTCTATGCTTTTTAATGGGAGAGCTCAACACTTTGACACTTACAGAAATTATTGATATGAAGGAAGGACTTTGTGACAATCCTATATGAAGAATTTTGTTGTTAATACCATTGACCTTTGCTTTTCATGATGTCATTCAGTATTCTTAGCAGAGATGATTGAGATTGACAAATGATCTCAACCATTGTTTGTCTGAATTTTTTTATCACTTCTTCAAATATGAATGATAACCCTTCAGGTATAGGATTCTTAGCAAGAGAGCCTTTTCATTCAATACTCTGAATACATCATTGCATTTTCTTTTTGTGTTTAGAAATTCATTTACAAATTCTTATGTGAATCATGTTTCTTCCCAGGTATATGAAGCCTTGTTTCTCTTGCCACTTTAATAAGTCTATTTATAGAGCATCTTCTAAGTTCATGTATAAAGTTAGATTCCTTGCACATTCCAGAGAACGTAGATAACTGCAAACTTGTTTTTCTTGTGGAATGAGTGTGCTAAGTCTATGGGACAATGATGAAAGGGCAGCAGAAGCAGGGCAATGGTGGGGAGACTATATAGCTACAGACGAAAATAACTACATCTGGGGCTTGCCATTTCCCCTCTCCTGCCTCTCCAGCCACAGGCATCCTCCTACCACTGAATAACCAATCAACTATTTCATGGGTCATCCAGTAATAGTTATCGGCACTAATAAGGAATTTTCAAAAACGACTCTCTAAACATTTTTTTCTAATTTTCTTCTCCCTCTTGGGAAGTAATAAAAGATATGATTGTATAAAAAGCATGGTATTTCCAGAGGGAAAAGGAAGAAAGTGGGGTGGGGATTGGGTAGAGGTCATAATTTTCATTTTCTAATTTTTTTCTTTGTTCAGCCACTTTAGAAATGCTTGGGGGATACTCCTGATGGACTCAGGGGTCACTGTTAGTGGTGCTGGAGCCCTCAAATGCTGGAGCTGAAAGTCAGTCCTCTCACATAGAGGAGTTATTCTGATAGTTGAGAACACTGGAACTGTGGTGATTTTTTTTAGCATCTTTTCATATGAAGTATTTTATGTATTTGAGGTTTTGTACCAGAGTAAATTTGAGCAGCATTAATTTTTTTAATTTTTATTAATGACAAACCAAGAGGTACAGTTGTAGACTTACAATTTTTTGTGGTTTGGTTTCAGTTATACAGTGATTAAGTACCCATCCCTCCACCAGTGCCCATATTCCACCACCACTGATCCCAGTATCCCTCCCACTCTCCATCTCCCCCATCCTACCCTGCCTCTGTGGCAGGGCATTTTCTTTTGTTCTCTCTCTCTCCTTTTGGGTGCCATGGTTTGCAAAAGAGGCATTGAATGGCAATCATGTTTGGTCTATAGTTTACTTTCAGCATGTTTCTCCCATCCTGAGAGGATCCTCCCAATATCCTTTATCTGGTGCTCCCTTCTCTATCTGAGCTGCCTTTTCCCCTAGCATGTGTGACTGGCCTCCAAACCATGGAGTAAACCTCCTGGTACTTATCTCAGCTATTCTTGGGTGTTAGTCTCCTATTTTGTTACTTTATGTTCCTCAGATGAATGCAATCTTTCTATATCTATCCCTCTCTTTCTGACTCATTTTGCTTAGTATGATGCTTTCCAGGTAGTACCACTTGTATGTAAATTTCATGACTTCATCTTTTCTAACTGGTACTTAGTACTCCATTGTATAGATGTACCAAAGTTTCTTTAACCAGTCGTCTGTTTTCAGGCACTCAAGTTTTTTCCAGATTCTGGCTATTGTAAAGAGTGCGAGCAGCATTAATTTGTAAATTGATGTGGAGCACTCTATGCCTGTAACAACTGTTTTATGAACAACTTTGTAAATCATGGTATTTTGAATAAAAATTAAAATTTTCAAAATTATTTTTAAGATAGGAAATTGGAAAAGATTTGGGAAAACTGAAATATTTAGGAAGCTACTTACAGCTAACATTATTTACATTCAGCTATTTCCCATAAAGATCACTAATAGTTGTTTCTTGGGAATTGGGGGTTAAATGATTTCTCCTCTGAACAGATACTTCAGTCTTCACACAAACGTGGCCAGGAGTGTGGGACAGGCGGTGGCAGGAATAATACCGAGGTGCTCTGCTCCACAGGACTCACTGTCATTAGCAACGTGTACCCAGACTGCTTCCAACAAGATGGTAACTCATTCCATTTAAAACTCACTGGAGAATTCTTTATTTGCGGGTGGGCTCCAAAACAACGTTAAAGGGGTGCAGGGATCACTCTTCATAATGATAGGTTGAATGGTTCAGTACTATGGCCTGGCAAAGTTGGGGGACAACACAACCACATTCAGCAATGCTAGGGACCTCCCTGGTTATACATGATAGTTCCAGGGGATAAGTGCGAGATGAGTTGCCAGGATGGAACTCAGAGTCTCATGAATGTAAGGCGGGCTCTCCTGAATTCCTGACCTGACCTGAATACGATTTCAAAAGAATATATTGCTTTTGCTAACCCCACATACGTTGTCCCTTAAAAATCTTTCTTATAAGGATATTGAGCTTCCATTTGACCCAGCAATACCACTTCTGGGAGTATATCCTGGAGAGCCAAAAAATATGGTAGAATGAAGTCTGCGCTTGTGTGTTCATTGCTGCACTGTTTACAATAGCTACAATCTGAAAAAAACCCGAATGCCCAAGAACAGATGACTAAATAAAGAAACTGTTACATTTATACAATGGAATACTATGCACTGTTAGACAAGATGAAGTCATAAAGTTTGCTTATAAGTGGATCAATATGAAAAGTATCATGTTAAGTGAAATTAGTCAGAAAGAGAGAGACAGACATAGAAAGATTGTACTCATCTGTGGAATATAAAGTATCAGAAAGGGAAACTAACACCCAAGAATAGTAGAGATAAGGACCAGGAGGTTTACTCCAAGACTTGGGAGCCGGCTTCAAATGCTGGGGGAAAAGGCAGCTCAGATAGAGCAGGAACACCAAGTAAAGGGTGTTTGGAGACCCGCTCAGGTTGGGAGATACTTGCCAAATGTAGGCTATAGATCAAACACAATGGCTACTTAGTGCCTCTGTTGCAAACTACAACACCTAAAAGGAAAGAAAGAGCAAAAAGAAATGCCCTGCCACAGAGGCAGGGTGGGTTGGGGGGTTAGGGTGGGGGTGGTGGGAGTGATACTGGGATCATTGGTGGTGGAAAATGGCACTGGTGGAGGGATGGGTATGCGATCGTTATATGACTGAAATGTAAACATGAAAGTTTGTAAGTCTATTACTGTACCTCACAATGATTCACTAATTAAAAAAAAAAAGAAAGAAAAATCTTTCTTATACCCACAATACTATCTGGTTTTCATTAAAAATTTAATTGAGGGGCTGAAGCCATAGCAAAGTGGGTAGGGCATTTGCCTTGCACGCGGCCAATCTTGGTTCAATCTCTGGCATCCCATATGGTCCCCCCAAGCACCACTAGGAGTAATTTCTGAGTGCAGAGTGAGGAGTAATCCCTGAGCATTGCTGGTTATAACCCAAAAGGAAAAAAAAATTATCAAAATGGGCTGTAGATACAGCACAGCAGGTAGGGCCTTGCCTTGCACATGACTGACTCAGTTAGATTCCCAGAACCAAGTATGTTTCACTGAACCCTGCCAAGAGTGGTTTCTGAATGCAGAGCTAGAAGTAATCCATGAGCACTGCTAGGTATGGTGCCAAAACAAAATCAAACAGAAAACTTTTACTGAGGTAAGAACTTACCTTTTTAACTTTATTTTTAAATTAACTCTCATAATCAAAAACAAATATCTTTGTGCCCAGAGATAGGCTGTCACACATGCCTCTCAACCACAAGTTCCAGAGTTGAAATGGGAGTACCAGGATATACTGGTTATCCCTATTCATTCCTCCCCTGTTGGTGCTCAGGGGAGTTATGAAGAGCTGAGGGTTGGTCTTGGGGCCTTTTGTAGTCAAAATCTTCACTCCAACCCTTTGGGCATTGTCTCTATCTCAGATCTGTGATTATTTTGAATATAGGATATAATTTAGTTGAAGTATTTGTTCTAAGTGTTATTCTTTCTTTCCTTTAATAGGTGGACCATTTAAGAAAGTTCTCAGATCAAAAAGAAACTTGGAACAGAAGATAGAAAACGCAGGTGTTCTAACGTTTCTTTTGTTTTCATAAGTTTTGCTGAAATATCCCAGCATCTGAATATTTTCCTTTCAGCTAATTGACATAGAATAGGTTGAAAAAATCTGTGGACACTGAACTTTTATGTTCCATGGAATCAAGCACCCAGGATTAAAAAACTTTACATTACCTTGCTGTAAAGAAAATAGGTCTCCAACTTTTCCATTCTTTATAGTTATAATATAGTTTTAATTGTCTCATAGTTTTTACTTTATTAAATGCATGACATTTAAAAAATAATTTAATAGAAGCCTTACATTTGATGAGATAATAGTAAATAGTAGCTTGGAACACTTACTATGTGAAAGGCCATTTGAAAGCCTCATAATCTGCTTCATAATTTTATCTTTAGTAGTTACTCTAGTGACATGGTACTTTATAACTGCATTTTCCATATGACAACATACAGCACAAAGAGACATGAGTAATAATGATTATGTCCAGTGAGTTAGCATACCCCTGCCTAGCATGGTGAACGGTACAGGACAAATGTAAATCCAAGTGAGACTGAGACAGAATCCATGGCACTGGAGATCTGTACACTATGATCTCTGATCTCCTCTTTCCTTTGATCTATAGTTATTTAGGGCCTGTCTAAACTATTTTAAAGACGAATTTTTATTTTATATACCACTTAAATTTCATGTGAATTATAATAATAATAATTGGAGGGGCTTATGGATACTGTGCTTTAGTAATGATCATGATCTTACTAGTAGTTTCTTCACTATTTCAGCAGTTACTCATCAAACAATGTTATGTGACTTTTTTTGAGCGAGAGGATTAACTCTATAGGTGCTAATAATAGTAGTTAGACTTTGGTTTAGAGGTCAAGAAGAATTTTTCAGCTTTGGAACTTCAGAAATAGAAGAGTTTTCTGGGAAGGAAGTAATTTGCCTACTCAGAGAACTATTCCAGCTATTCCAGCTGGTTCTGGTCACTACCAGTACAAGAAGGGGGGCAGGACACCAGGAAAGAAGCTGGACCAGTCCAACTCCAGGCCTTTGAATCTGTACTTGGCTAACTGTTATGTTATTATTTCAGCATCCCGATACAAACATCCAGTGATTCAGAAGTGTTGTTATGATGGGGCCTACAAATCTGAGGAGAGTTGTAAGGAAAGAGCTGCACGAATTACTTTGGGCCCCAGTTGTTACGGAGCTTTCTTAGATTGTTGTGAAGAGGCAAATACTGTGCGGTCGGAGGATACTCATATCGATGTTAATGTAGGACATGGGGGTATGTATGAAAACTTCTCTCCATTGCAGTAAGTAACATCATATTGGAAGTGTATGTCTGCCTGGGAATAAATACTTCCCAATTTGCTTTAATACAGAAAAATAAGTATAGGCTACTATAATTCAGTGGGAAAATGCAGATCCAGTAGCAGCAACAATAATATTTTGGATCCCACTAGACCCAGCTTAACCACTAAGTCTTCATGCAGTGGCTGCTGTTCATTATTCATCCTTTAAAACCTGATATGTAAAACAAAATTAGCCAAATGAATCTGTGATATTTATACATAGGTCACTACCCTTGCATGATACTTAAAATTTTGCATAAAAATATTGGTATGTTTTAAGGAATCAAAATATTATTCCAGATCATTTCACAAAGTAACAGTCAACAAGAGTATAAGATATAGAAGGTGGGGCTGGAGCGATAGCACGTCGGGTAGGGTGTTTGCCTTGCACGTAGCTGACCTGGGTTCAATTCCCAGCATCCCATGTGGTCCCCCGAGCACCACCAGGAGTAATTCCTGAGTGCAAAGCCAGGAGAAAACCCTGTGCACCACCAGGTGTTACCCAAAAAATGATATAGAAGAAATCCAAATAAGGCTACATAAAAATAGATATTCAAACATATTGTTTTAATGCAAAATATGCAAAATAGTGATATGTGTAATTTAAATTTTTATTAGTGGTCTATTGGTACCAGGTAAAGATCATATACAAATAAAAATACAAATTTTTATTTGTACAGGATTACTTTCAAACTTACTTTCTTTGTTTTTCTCTGAATTCTGTTTACATTACTATGGAGAATAGGCAAATCAAAGCAGAGAAATACTAAAATATACATGCAGATTTAGTTTATTTTATGGTTTTTTTGAAGGGGGGAGTGTTGCTGCTTATTTTAGGGCCACACTCAGCAGTTCTAAGGGCTTACTCCTGACTCCATTCAGGAATTATTCCTGAAACCATATGGGATGCTGGGGATCTAACCTGAGTGGGCCACATGCAAGGCAAATGGCCTAACCACTGTACTATTGCTCCAGTCCCACCTTATTTTACACATTTAAGAACTTAATTTTTACTGTAATCTTTAATATTTTATTTGAAATGTATTACATTTTATTAAGATATAACCAACAGTATTTATAATTTTGGGGTGCAAAGCTGAAAGAGTAAATTATTTACATGTTGAAAAATTGCTACTGATGTCGGTGAGCCCCTGGGTGATATATATGAAGTTGAGAGGAGAGAGATGACCACCTTCTCCCAATCCACCTCTGCCATGCCAGAAGCGGCTGGGAAGGCTAGGACTGGTAAAGTCTACGATGAGCTCCTGCAGGCATGACCTCGAATCCCACCAACTTCATGAGGTGTTCATCAAGCTACACCTGAAATCTACTTGTTTTGCCTGGCATGGGGGTTAATCACCACAACCCAATATGTCAGAGAGCCACAGACTCGGGCTGAATGGAGGAATTGCATTTTGCAGGAAAATGAAAACCAGTCTGAGGTCTTACCCAGGTCTTCTGGGTACTTGCCCTTCTCGCACAAAAGAATTTCAGGAGTAGAAGAGCAGCAAAGTAAAAGCAGATTTTATTCGGAGGTTTTCTAAGGGGATGGAGGGAGAGAAAGAGAGAGTAACAGGCTCAAGAGAGAATATGGGTTTCTCCGAAAGAAGAGAGAGCCTCGAATGGCCTTTAAGGCCAGCATTGTAGGTATTTTCTCCAGTTTTCCTTGGCCTGGAGTTTTCTGCCAGAGGGTGAGAGTTGACCAGGTATTGTCACTATGGAAGAACTTTAAAGTTTTCAGTCAATCTCTTTATTGTAGTCTCTGTCTCTGCTGAAGTTTGTGGTCTCCAAAGGGAGGGTCCAGCCTCCTCTAGTACCAGGTAAAGATCATATCAGGCCTTAGTTCATATGCTCACAAGGCAGGATTTTTGCAGTCTTGGGGCTCTTAGTTTTACTATTTCCCAAGAATCCCATTGCCATGGGGGCTGTTTCCTTTCTGTCTGCCTGTCTCAATACCACAGTAAGTTTAGTTAACATCCATCATGTGCAGAAAAAAAAAATCGTTCCCTTTGCAAGGCCACACTCCATCTGTAGGCTCTAAGGAGGCATCCTTTTGGCCTCTTCAAGCTTCTGATTTTCTTAGCTTGTGGACGCATCTCTCCATTCCATGTCTTTGTCTCACCTGGCTCTAGTTTCCTATTTCTGTGTCTTTACCTCTTTCTCCTACAATGACACTTTATTTCTATATGTTTTAAGGACAACGTGCACCCTAATGAAGACTAATATCCTATATCAATCCTTAATTGGATCTGCTAAGAACCAGTTCCCAAACAAGTGCACTTTTTTATGATCACATTTTATTTATTTTTTTAATAATTTTTTTCAAATTGAATCACTGTGAGATACACAGTTTCAAAGCTGTTCATGATTGGGTTTCAGTCATACAATGTTCCAACATCCGTCCCTTTACCAGTGTATATGTCCCACCACCAATGTCCCCAGTCCCCCCTTTAGGTCACCTGGGCAGTCACCAATCGTCTCACATGTGAACCAGGTATTCAATACAATGTCGCTCCCTTACCACAGGTGAACCACTGCTGACAGAGACTCAAGGACATTTACTAAGAACATTAATATTCAGAGGAGGCTGGGGAGGGCAGTTACATAGCTGTGCTAAGGCACCCTGAAAATACAGAGTGAAATCCTGACTGTTTTCTATTCTATTTCTCTCTTCTGTAGTCCCTGAACAGTCTTATTCTACACTCGCCTGGTATTTTGTTGTTGCTATTGCTGTTATTATTGCTGTTGTTGTTATCTATTCTATTCCTTCCTGCTATGTTCTTTCCTGGGTACACTTTAGCAAACCCTTAGCATTCTAATATTTAATCTATCTAAACTAAGAGCATATCCTATTCTTGTGGGTTTTTTGTTAGAGGCGCCCCCTGCAGATGGCATGCCTTGCTGCGGTGCCAGGAATCTTAGTAAGCAGAACTGCAGGAATCACACCAAGATATGTAGGTAGCACATCAAGATATGCTGGGGATTGAAATCAGAGCCTCACTAGTTTCCACACCTTCAAGGCAGGCTCTCTACACAACAGCACTGAGCTCTGCACAGGGCCTGTCTTTTTGGTAGAAAGACAGTTGCACTATGAAGAAGTTCTTTCTTTCTAATTTTGAGGAGTTTCTGGTCACATCTAGTGGTGCTCAGAGTTTATTTCAGGCTCTGTGCTTAACAATTGTTCCTGTGGTACTTGGGGAACCATATGTGATGCCAGAGGTTTGAATCAAGATTGGTCTCACTTGAGGCAAGAAGTTAACCTCCTGTACTACCAGAGATTCTCTCTTTCTCTCTTTCATTTAGACATTATGGTTTGCAATACAGAAACTGAAAGGTTATCGTATATATCCCTTTACCTACTTACAACACTCAGTTTTTGTTCAGAGTGATAATTTCCAACTACTATTGTCATAATGGGCCCTCCTGAAGGGGTAGGAGGGAAACTGGGGACACCAATGCTGGGAAATTACACTGGAGGAGGGATGGGTGTTGGAACATTGTATGACTGAAACCAAACCATTAACAACTTTGTAATGTTCTATCTTTGGTAGCTAAAATAAAAATTAGAAAAAAGTTTAACATTCTCAGAGTGAATAAAATTAAAAAAATTTTCAAGGACAGGAGTGATAGCACAGAGAGTAGGGCGTTTGCCTTGCACACGGCTGACCCAGGTTCAATTCCCAGCATCCCATATAGTCCCCCAAGCACTGCCAGGAGTAATTCCTGAGTGCATGAGCCAGGAGTAACCCCTGTGCATTGCTAGGTGTGACACAAAAAACAAAAAAAAGAAAAAAGAAAAATATTTTTTAAAAAATCTTTAGTTTGATGATAACCCTACTTGTTTATTTTTAATTTTCCTTGCCCTCAGAAATAAATTCCCAAAGATACCACTGAAACTTATGTCACAAAGCATCTTAAGTGTTGTCTTTAATGGTGTTTGGAGCTTGTGGTCTGATATCCAAGTCTTCAGTAAATTTTGAGTTAACTTTTGTGCATTGTATTTATTAAGCTATGGTAATTATTAAATTTCATCCTTTTGCACGTGATCATCCAGTTTCCTTGCTACCCTGGGCTCTCTTATTATAAATTAACTCTCTATAGATGTAGGATTTGTTTCTGGACTCTCAATTCTATTTTTTTTTTTGGTCAGTGTATCTACTTTAATTACTTTAATTTTGTAATATGATTTAAATTTGTAGAATATTATGCCTCCTCTTTTGGTCTCGGATTTATTTACTATTTGAAATCTTTTATGGTGGCATAGAAAATGTTTGTTTCATTGTCATTAAAATTTTTGATAGGGATTGATTGTGTGTAGTGTTTTGGGTAAGATTCTTATTAGTATTACTTATTAATATTAAATATATAATATTAATGTTAAATACAAATCCAAGAGCAAAGACTATCTTTCCTTTTCCTTGTGTCTTCTATTTCTTTTGATAGTGATACATTTTTCAACATAGAAATCTTTCACCCCCTTAAATTTATTTCTACAATTATTGCTAAATTGTATTTTATGAAATTGGGAATATAGGATTATTTTCTTGACTTCTCTTTTTTCTAATTTGTTGTTTCTATATAGATTTCTAAATAGATTCTGTATTGAAACAATCTTCTGTTTTGATTTGTTACTTTTAATAATTTTCAATGGAACTTTTATTTAGGGTTTTCTGTGTATGTTTCCATGTTATCTACAAAGAGTGGGGGATGATTTCCAACTTAAATCCCTTTCATTTCTTTATCTTGCATATTTTCTGTGACTAGGACTTTAATACTATGTTTAATAGTAATAGTAAGAGTGGATATCTTTAATGCCTAATTTTAGAGGGAAAGCTTTCAGTTTTTCAGAATTGAATTAAAGTTATTGGTGGTTTGTCTTAGGCAGCTTTTACTAGATTGAGGTATATACATCTATTTCCAGTTTGTGGAGAGTTGTATATTTTTTAATCATAAATGTATGTTGAATCAAGCTTCTCTAATTCTTCTTTTCTTTATATGATATAGATGTGTGTATATATATGTGTACACACACATATATATGTATAACAGTAACTGAGTTGTGCATTTTATTTATTTATTTATTTATTTATTTTGGCTTTTTGGGTCACACCCGGTGATGCTCATGGGGTTACTCCTGGCTCGTACTCTCAGAAATCACTGCTGGCGGTGCTCAGGGGACCATATGGGCTGCTGGGAATCGAACCCAGATCGGCTGCATGCAAGGCCAATGCCCTACCCGCTGTGCTATCGCTCCAATCCTGAGTTGTGCATTTTATTACCTTAGCGTTCTGGAATAAATTTTACTTGGTTATAATATATGATTATTTTAAAGTACCATTGAATTATGTTAGTTAGGATTTTGGAAAGATGTTTATATCTATTGTTTATGAATAATATGGAAGTATTATTGTTGTGTGTATGTGTATGTGTACATCTGGGTCTTCATTTGGTATTGATAATGTTGGTCTCATTATAAAATGTTTGGAAGAATTTCTTTCTATTCAGTTTTTGGGAAGAAGGGTAGGTAATAAGGGCTAGAGAGATAGCTCAAGAAGCTGAGTGTATGCCTTGTTCTGGAGGCCAGAGTTTTATCCCTGGTACCATACGGTTCCTTGAGCACTCCATCTGTTGGCTTCAAACAAAACAAAGCAAAAAGATAATAGGCTATTTATAAAGGTTTAGTAGAACTCAATAGTAAAACCATCTGCACCTGGGCTTTTGTTTTCCAGTAGATTTTCTATTACTGTTTCCATTTTCTTTGCTTATAATTGGTTTGTCCGGGATTTTTAGTTTTTCTTGAGCCAGCTCTAAAGGTCCTATGATTCTGAATATTCGCTACTGCTTCCCTAACTTAGTAATGTAAGCTTCTTTGTAGTAATATTCTAGGATCCTTTGTATTTCTATACTATCTCTTCTATGGTATCCTGTGTAAACACACAAAAAATAAAAAGCCGACGGTCAGGCCGTTTCCCCACTCCAAGGAGGTAGATAGCGATGGTCAGGCGAAGGAAGGAAACGAGGCCAAGTTGGTTGGTCTTAGCAGCAGTTTATTACATGGAAGAGAAGTATGTCATGGAGGCCCCAGGATCTCTCAATCACGTGCACCTTTGTTCTCTCAGCTTCTGTCCTCAGCCCCATCTTCCCAGATTCTCTGATGCACGTGTCCCCCAGAGAGCCCTGAAATCTCCCTTATATAGATCATAGTACCTCTAAAGGGTGCAATATAGTGATGTCATCAAAAGGAGTTACAGAAAGAACACTGAGGCAGCACACATACATAGTTTCTTTACATCCACAGGCCAGTAATCTTGGCCTCACCTTTACAAACTACTTGGATTAACAACACAGCAAAGACGAGTCTGCTAGAGCTTGGAGCCTACATCTCAAATATCAGCCTGCCTGGAGCCAGGTATCTACATCCCCAAGATCAGGCCTGGCTTAGCACCTGAGATCTGCTTACATAAGACCAGCTAGGTTCCTGTGAGATAAGGGAAACTGCCTCAATATATTGAAATCATTTATTGAAGGCCGTTTGGAGGGGAGAAAGGTTCAGTCTCATCCAAGCTAGTCAGGACACATAGGAAAACTGATTCTAGGACTTGTTTGTCCTCTCCTTGTCCAACCAACATATAAGCATACATAATATTAATCATTTTGTATGGACACAGTAAGAAATACTTTGAGCTTATAGAATTGCTCTCCTAGGGCCATCTTGATCTCAGACTGCAGTGCTCAGGCCAGATATCTTTCCCTTCCTAGCAGCAGGGTCCTACTCTCGTTGTTACTTTTGGATCATGACAGCATTTGCCTATGATCAAACTCTTAACCTATAGTTAAGAATCGTGGCATCTTGGCCTGGCCCATCTCGATGCCAGGGTAGCCCATAACTTACCGGCTTGCCCTGGTTCCATCCAGTCCCACGTCGGGACCCTGCCCTTGGGGTGCTAGGAAGTGAGGGCAACTGAGGCTTAAGTTGAAAAGGCAGATGACCAGGAATGAATAATATTCAAAGCCAATTAACTCCTAAGTTACAAAGCATAATATTAATTAATTGTCTTTCTGTATCTATACAAAAAGGACATTGTATTAAAGTAAACTATTCAAAAGACATAAGGAGAGGAGAAAGGCAATATTAACTTACAGTACAGCTTCAGTGTCTAAGAAGGATGAGACCTTACAAATTGGTTGGGGAAGAGAGCATAGAAGTGGTTACAGACAGACAAAGTAATGGGAGTGACTCGGGAGCACTCTGATGGGTGCAACCTGATAAACCTAAGCTCCTTGTTCTCCAACAGTATCCCTTTCCACTTTTAATCATATTTGTTAGGTTTTTTTCTCTCTTTTTGTATGTATGTTCAGCAAAAGATATGCCAATCTATTTATTCATTTTAGGAAACAAGTCCTATTTCACTGGTATTATCTTCTGTAAATACTATTTCCAATGATTAAAATGTTTATATACTTTTAAAATTTCTATCTCTATGAGTATATCTACATCTTTCTCTGTGTATAATTTTGTGTATAATTCTGTATTGTACTTATGGGGTATTAACATTTTCACCTTGCTTTGTACCCTGATGGTATTTTAGATATTGAAATCAGTATTTTCTTTTCAGTTTTGACATCACAGACATTAAATGCATGACCAAATATATTACAGTACTTAAATAAAAGTTAGCCACAATACTTTTACATATCAACCTACTATATACTATGATGATAATTACTGTGTTGTTATGTTTCTAATTTACTAGTACCTGGACCGAAACTACCAAATTTTCCTCCTGAACCAAAAAATTTATGGAATGTGTATCATGTTCTTAAAAGGTAATCGAAAAATTTCATCTTTCTTTTCCTTAGAAAATCTGAGAAATATTGAAATGATAAATCGCTTGTTATTCTCCCAAATTTTTCTTGATAACTAAGATGCTCACATTGATGAATTTTAATTTGGTTTGTTGGTGGGTTTGGTTTGGTTTTTCTGTCAGTGGCAGGATTATCTGAAAATTTGATAATTTTTGAAGATTTAGTGGCAGAATGACACATTTTTATTTAAATTTTATTTTAAAATATTCAATTAGTAAATAAATGATCTAGGGTCCTGGGGATGTGGCTCACAAACAAGTGGTAGAGTGCTTGTTTGTAGGCGTGAGACCTAAGTTTAACTCCTACCACTGCCCACATCCCTGAGTGTGAGCCCCAGCTTCACAGTCTCAGGTGTAGCACAACCAAGTGTGTAACCCTCCTGGACACGACAATGACATCAACAATACGGGGAAAGGAAGAGGGGGAAAGATTTAAAGATTAGGGCCATAGAGATAGCTCAATGAAGCACATGCTTTGCATGCAGAAATCCAGGTTCAGCCTCTGGTACTGCCTGTCCCCTGAGCACCACTGGGAGTAATCCCTGAGGACAAAGCCAGGGATGGAACCACCAGGAATGGAACAAAATTTTTTAATTTTTTTCCTATTACATCTGGAACGATAGCACAGCGGGTAGGGCGTTCGCCTTACAAGCGGCCAACATGGCCGACCCGAGTTCGATTCCTCTGCCCCTCTCGGAGAGCCCGGCAAGCTACCGAGAGTATTCGATATGCCAGACACAGTAACAACAAAGTCTCCAATGGAGACGTTACTGGTTTTTTTTTACTCATCTTTATTATAACTTTTTAAGCAATATGATATATAGGTGTGCATATATACTTTTGAAATAAAGTTTTTATGTTTTGGATATAAATGCCAAGAAATGGTATTACTGGGTCATATGGGATTTTTATTTCTTTTCCCTTTTTTTTGGGGGGGGGGGGGGCATGGATCTCCTTATTGCTTTCGATAGAGACTAAACCAAACATCATTTCCTTGAACAGTGGATGAGGTTTCCTTTCTGACAAGAGTCCCACAAATACTGTTTTCCACACTTTTTATTGTACTGGCATGAGATATTTCAATTTGTTTTGATTTGTGAGTGATGATTAACACGTTTTCATATGTTTTTTCCCATCTGTCTAGCTTCTTTGAAAAAGGGTTTGTTCATCTCTCCCCACTTTTGGACAGTGTTGTTAAGATTTTGGTGTTGAATTTTGTGAGTGCTTTATAGATCTTGGATATTATTTGGATATTATACCTTTATCTGATGTGTTGTGTGATTATATTTTCTCTCATTCATTAGGGTGAATTTTTACTACAGCCTGAGTTTTTTTTGTGGTTCAGAAGATTTTTAATTTGACATAAATCCCATGTTTTTTAAAAAAATATTATCTTTGTCGTTGTGGTCCTCTTACTGGAAACACAACTGCAGTCAATTACCCAGAGAGTTCTGCCAATGCTTTCTTCCATATATTATATAGAAAATAATATAATATCAAGGGTTATTTTTATTCACTTTGAGTTTACTTTTGTGAATATCCAAGGTACAATATTCATTTTAATTTTTTTACATGTGTAGATATCCAGTTTCCCCAACATCATTATCAATATCACAGTATTGAGATACTGTGATCTACAATATTATTAACAATGGCTTGCTCTACTTTATACATTTAGCTCCTCAGTCATAGATTAACCTGAGAGTTTAACTCGGTGTTCTCTATTATATTCCTTTGCTCTGCAGGTCTATTTTTATCCCAGTTCCATGCAGTGTTGATTGCTATGGCTTTGTAGTATGTTTCAAAGTTGAGAAATGCAGTATCTCCTCTTTCTTTCTTCCTTCCTTTCTTTCTTTCTTTCATCTTCCTTCCTTTCTTTCTTTCTTTCTTTCTTTTTTCTTTCGTTCCTTCTTTCTTTTTTCTTTCTTTCTCTCTTATTTCTTCCTTAAGATTTCATTAGTTATTCAAGTTTTATGATTCATACAAATTTTAATAGAGCTTGTTTCACATTGTTGAAAACAGTCATTAGAATTATAATGGCTATTGCTCTGAATCTGTGTAATACTTTTTATAGGATGGTCATTTTGACAATATTGATTCTTCCAATCTATGAACAGGAAATATTTTACCAATTTTTGGTGTCTTCTTCTATTTCTCCTACCAGTGATTTATAGTTTTCACTGGAAAAATCTTTCAGCCCTTGTTAAATTTATACCTAAGTAATTGATGCAGTGGGGCATTATTTTGAAGGGGATAGTCATTTTAATATATTTTTGTTCCAGTTAATTCTTTTCATACAGAAATGCCATGGATTTTTGCATATTAACTTTGTAAACTTCTACCTTACTGTGTTGGTTTATTATTTCTAAGAGGTTTTTATTTTTTTGCACAGTCTAGGGTTTTCAATGTTATAATATCACCTCACCTAAAAATAGTGACAATTTGGCTTCTTCTTTTCCAATTTGGATTCCTTTGATATATTTTTTATTGGCTGATTGCTCTGGCTAGGACTTATAAAACTGTACTAAATAAGAAAGGTGATAATAAACCTCCTTGCCTTCCATCTGATCTCAGGGGACAAACTTTCAGTTTTTTATCACTGTGTATGATATTGTTTATGAGTTTGTTGTAGATGGTCATTAATATCTTGAGGCATGTTCCTTCTATCACTATTTTTGGAGTAGGTATTTTTTAATCATGAATGGGTATTAAATAATGGCAAAAGGAATTTCTGGGTCCTCATTTATAAGCATATTAATTTCACCTATTCACTCTCATGATCTAATCACTCTGAAAGATCTCAGTTCTAAATAGCATAATCTTTTTTGTGTGTTTTGGGGGCCACACCTAGCTTTGCTTAGGGCTTACTCCTGGCTCTACTCTCGGTGCTCATGGGACCACATGCAGGGTCAGGAACCAAACTTAGGTTGGCTGCATGCAAGGCAAGTACCCAACCCGCTACCTTTCCGGTCCCTGTGTAGGATATTGTTGGATTGTCGTTTCTGCTTAACAACAGGGAGCTTAGGTTTATTGGGTTACACCCATCACAGTGCTCCCAAGGTACTCCCATTCCTCTGTGTTTATCTGTAACCTCTTTCTTTGTGCTCTGTTTCCCCAACCAGTCAATCACCTTTATCTCCTAATCAGACTCTGTGAACTTATAAATATTGCTTTTCTTTTCTCCTTCTGTCCTTTGCATAATTACTTCCTAGCAATGTCGTTTTTGTACAGACACAGGAAGACAGTTAATGCTATGCTTTTGTAACTTGAGAATTAATTGGATCCTATTAATATTCATTCCTTGGCTTCTGTTTTCTCAAATTAAGCCTCAGTTGCCCTTAGTTCCTAGGTCCCAACGATGAACTGGATGGACCCAGGGCAAGATGTGAGATACCCTAGCATTGAAATGGGTCAGACTAAGAGCCATAATACTTAACTATAAGTTTAGGTCGTGGTCATGGACAAATTTTGTCATGATCCAAAAAGTAACAACTAGATTAGAACACTGCTAGGGTTAGGAAGGATTCAACTGGCCTGAATACTGTAGTCTGGGATCTATAGCAAAATGTCCCCAGAAGCGCCACCCTAAAAACTTTATGTATTTCTTACTATGTCCATACAAAATGATTAATATTAAGAAGTAGAATTAAGATGAATGTTTAAGTGGTTATTGGACTACAGAAAGGAGAAACACACCCTAGGTGGTATTTTACCCTTGAGTGGATCTCCTGGCTACAAGAGATCAGGAAGGGCTTTCATATGTTGTTAGTGCTACCCGACCTGAGTGTGGTTGCTACCGCCAAGTTTTGGAGGTTGTGAGAGATGAGAGAGACCAAGGTGGAGAGACTAGGAAGGGAAACAGTAGGAGATGGGAATGAGGGAAGGGTGAGACTGAAATGGGGAGCTTAGTGAGACTGGAAAAGGCGCATGGGGAGAATCAAATAAATGGCAACTGATCATCACCCACCCTGGCCCGCATTTCCTACTTTGTCTGCCCATGGCATCAGCATCCCGGGTGGGAAGAGGCCCTAGACCATCGAACACAGGCGGTGAGAGAGAGCCATGGGATTCGTAGTCGTTTAATGAATACAAATCTCCAAGATTTGATTTTGGTTTTGGGTGAATATACAAATATTCTGTCAGTGAGAAACCAAGCGCATCTGCCTTTGTATATACATTCTTATCATACACAAATAGTAATTTTACATAACTCAGATCCATGAATGTATAAGCAATTATTCTGAATTTAAGGGCCCTGTTGTCCTTTTCTATTTTCTTAAATTTTCCACTTAAAGTTGTTTTCTTATTTTCTCAAAAGCCTTTAAAGCAGAACAATAATTCTACTTAACAGAAGATAATTTTTAAGTCAGTTCCAGATTAATTAAGGCTTGTAGTTGACAGCCATAAAACATTTTATATTCTAGGTATCAGCTGGTTTGGAGAACACCAAAGGATCTAACTTCCTGGGAAATTCAAGGTGTTGGTGTTTCAAATAATGGTAAGTTGTATATTAAGGAGCAGATTTTCTTTGTATCACTTCATTGCCAGCAGGGTATATTTCAACACAATCTAATATAGGGTAAATATGTCATTTAAATATTTTGTTTAAAAATGCATTTATTTATTTTTTGAGGACCCCCTGACTATGCTCAGGGATTACACTTGCGTCGGTGCTTAGTAATCACTCTTATTGAATCTCAGGGGACCACATATGGTACCAGGGATAGAACCCCAGTGAGCCACATGCAAGACAAGTGCCTTAGCTGCTGTACTATCTGCCCTGCCCAAATAATGTTTCCACAGCACATTATGAGGAATGCCTTCATGTTCCCATTTCCATAAAAACTTTCTGATTTTCTAAGTTATTGATGTAGGGGCTAAAAATAGTACTCAATGCATTCCCCCCCAATTAATATTGGTAACTGTGCAACTCAGTACCATCTGCAAAGTGTTTTTTTAAAAAAATGATTTTCTTAACAATGCTGCAACTTTTGTTGGTCTTAGTTCCCTAATAATCAAGAAGTTTTGTTCCGCCAAAGAAAAGAATTTGAAGAGATAGCTAACAAATCTATGCAACTTTGCTTCTACATTCACAACAAAAATAAAAATAAAAACAATCTCAATCAAGTTAAAGGGATCTTAAAACCATTTCCCTCTCTGGAACCATATAAATAAATAGAGAGATTATACTCTGAACAAAAAATCAGCAATTTATTTGAAAAGGAAAAGGAAGGTGGATTTTCAAAGGTAAAGGGAGAGACCAGAAAAATAGTATAGCAAGTGGGGTCCTTGCATGTGACTGACCCAAGTTTGATTCCCAGCATCCCATACAGTCCCCTCAAGCTGCTAGGAACAATCCCTGAGCACAGAACCAGGAGTAAGCCCTGAGCACTGCAGGATATGGCCCAAATTGAATAAAGAAGAAAGAAGAAAGGAAAAGATGGTGTGAGAAAAGAGAAAAGAGGCTGGGTTAAGAAGACACAAAGTAAAGATTGTTGGGAGGATCCTCCTCCCAGGATGGGAGAAGCATGCTGAAATTAGACCATAGACCAAACATGATTGCCACTCAATGCCTCTTTTGCAAACCACAACAACCAAAGGGAGAGAAAGAACAAAAGGGAATGCCCTGCCACAGAGGCAGGGTGAGATGGGGGGGAGGGGGGAGGGATACTGGGATTCGTGGTGGTGGGAAATGGGCACTGGTGGAGGGATGGGTATTTGATCCTTGTATAATTGAAACCCAAGCACAAAAATTTGTAAGTCTACAGCTGTACCTCATGGTGTCTCACTAATAAAAAATAAATAAATAAATAAAACTTTATAAAGGAGAAAATAAAAGAAGAAGACACAAAGCTCACAGACACCTATGAAAGTCATTGGCCAATTAGAGCCAAGAAAACAAGAAGCATGGATGGATAACCCTGTCACTGCCTTCAGTTTCTCATTTGCTGGCTGCATTCAGCTGAATGGTACACTTCTTATACAGCTGATACTCCTTGGTGGCAAAAATCACGTAACCCCCTCTGAACCAGTGACATACCTTATTATATCTTTACTTGTCAGTCAAGTTAAACAAATTAGTTTCCTGACTTGTACCTATTTCAGGATAAACTCTACCTTTAATAAAATCTATAGGTATGTAGTTAATCCTTCTTAATGCTGCTGTATTGGGGGTCTTTCAGGGTGAGGGGAATGAGGCCCATTGTTTTTACTGTTTTTGGCATATCGAATAAGCCACGGGTAGCTTGCCAGGCTCTGCCGTGTGGGCAGGATACTGTCTGTAGCTTGCCGGGGTCTCTGAGAGGAATGGAGGCTTTTAGGGTGGCATCTAATCATCCCTACAGGGGTTCCCATGGTTCACACCATATTTGAACCCCATCAAATAGAGTGTGGTAATTATAGAAAATGGGTAGGAAGTGTCTTATGATGACATCATTCTAATAACACCAAACATTAGCCAAGTGGCACGAATGCTGGCTGATTTCAACCATGAGTGTGGAAAGATCAGACTGTAGCTAAATCTCACCAAGACAATGTTTATGAAAAATGAACTAGTTCCTTATGTTCCATTTGCTCTCAATGGAATGAACATCTCCGAATGCAGCAGTTATGTGTACCTGGGTCAAGAACTCAACATGAGGAACAACTTGGCACAAGAACTGCTCAGGAGGAAGAGAGTGGTGTGGAATGCCTTCAAGAGCATCAAAGAAGTTGTAAAGAGGACGAAAATCTTCGGGCTCCAGGCACATCTTTTTGACTCCAGCATTCTTCCTGCACGAACATATGCCTCGAAGACCTGCGCCCTATGAAAACAAGTATGAGAATACTATTCGTGTATACCAAGAGGATTTGAAAGAGCTATGCTTGGAATATCACACTTCACTCAAGTGAGAGAAGGAATCCGGAGCTCCAACATCTTCCGATGGTCGAAGATCAGGAATGCTGCCTCATTTGCCAAGGTGTCAAAAATCAGATGGGCTGGACACATAATGAGATTTGAAGATGACTGCTGGACTTGAGCCATTACTGACTGGATTCTACAGGATGTCAAAAGAACACCTGGCCGCCGACTTACAAGATGGTCAGTCTTCTTCTCAGGTCAAGATCCTGAACAAATGGTTTGATGCTCTTCGTGTTCCTGGATTTAGCAGATGCCACTGGGCTATGTTAGCATGCGACAGGGTTGAATGGAGACATTACTGGCGCTCGCTCAAGAAAATTGACAAACAACAGGATGACAAGTGACAAGTGATGTAGTTAATATTATTACCATAATGCCATCAAAAAAATGACCACTAGCAAAAGTAACTAAATCCATATCCTGTGTAACATTCATGAACTTAGAAAAGGATGGGAAATCATAATATTAATTAAGAAATTCTTTTTTGAGTGTAGAACATTTTGACCCAAAGGAAACTTTTCTTTTTTAGGTTTTCTGGGTCATATATGGCAATGCTCTAAGGTTATTCCTGGCTCTGTACTCAGGAATTACTCCCAACTGTGCTCATGGGACCAAATAGGATGGTGAGATCCAACCTTGGTCAATCATGTACAAGGAAAATGCATTACCCAATGTAGTATTGCTTCAGCCCTGGAACATTTTCTACTAAGTTTATGTCAGAACAATGAGATGCTCTTTACTTATGGTCATTCTTTGTATGTACAAGATTAAGACAGATTCTGCAAATATTGCTGTTTCACCCTAGCAACTTTAAAACCTATTCTGGCCAGCCTATCTAAACAGAGTTGTGAAATGATCGCCTCACTGAGTCTAGTTAACATGCATGCTTGACACAAGTACAAATGTTTTGTGTGCAAATTTCTAAGATATACTATCTTGGGGTGAAACAATAATACAGAAGTAAGGTGTTCCTCTTGTTCATGGCCAATCAAAATTCAATCCCCGATACCCTTACATGCCCCCCCCCACCCGCCAGCCCAATTGGAGTGACCCTTGAGCACAGAGTTAGGAGATAGCCCTGAGCAAAGAGGGGTATGCCCCCAAGGCAAAGCAAAAGGGGAAAAGATCTGCCATCTCATCCCCTTTCAAATATAAATATGGTATCTTTACCACTGTGCTGTAAGTTTGATCTATTCCTATGACCAAACTATTTCAGTTTTTATCTTATAACTGGAATTTGTACCTTTTGACCATTTTTACTCTTTTTCCCCCGTCCTTACATTTTCTACAGCATTTATATTGCTTGCTTACATTTTATCACATATTTCTTCATATCTCCTTTGCATGAAAGCAGATTTTTTTATTTGTTTCATAGTGAATAGGGGCCATGCACAGTCTTTCAAAGTGTTAATTGATTTTGAGAAGGAATTATTAAACAAAACTTTCCAGAAGATAGAAAAAGAGGAGGAGAGGAAAGAAACTTTATATGAGACCATACTTTTCCTTAAAGCAAATCCAAGCCATTTAGAGGTGGCACAGCACTCTGGGAGCCCTGAAATCTCTTGTGTACTGTTGCCTCTGCTAGGTCTGTGTGTTACTGATACACTGCGGGTGCTAGTGAGTGAAGATTACTTACGGGTCATAAACGACAATGTCACAGAGCCAACTGAGAAGGACTCCAGAACCTAAGTAGGTAAGTGGATTGCACCATGGCACCTACACCAGTCAATGGGTCACACTAGAATCAGTAGCCGCGAAATAAGAAATAAACACTATTCCGTGCTGAGTGATCAGAGCATCTGAGTGAACTCGGCATTGAAATGGAGAGGGAAGAGAGCAATGACTGTCAAAATGCAGATAGCTGTCACTTCATATCAACAGGGAGTTGAATGGAGTTTAAATTGAGAACAAACCTTATATTTTTCTTTTCTTTTTCTTATCTTTTCTTTTTTTTACCTTTTCTTGGGGGAATTATGAGAAGCAAGAGAAACAGTTCTCAAGTAATCCCAGTAACCCCCTAAAAATACAAAGAAGGCTAATTGTGTCTGTAGGTGGAGGTTGATATAATTGGAACAATTGCTTAACATTTAAGAGGCTATTTTTTAAGGATAAAAATATTTTGCAGTTAGATGAGATTAGTGCTTTGTACAACATTATCAGTGGTCTCAATATCACTCAATTGGTCACTCTGAGGCAAATTTGGAAATGTAATGTATTTGGATGCTTAATTTTTTTATGAGAATTGCTGGTGTGAAAAGAGTTGATAGAAGTTCATCTCTAAATTCAGAGCTACTCTCAAGGCCATTTTCTTGGGAAACATTTATTGATCTCAAAACCCAAGCTATGACAGGACTGCTGTTCACCCTCAAATTACTTTGCATGCAGAGTAACATGGTAATGGTGCAGATCCTGAGTGTTTGGTCACTGAGGGATTCTTGTGACTGAAGAGAAAGAACACTGAGTATTTAATTTAAAAAAATTTCAAAAAGAAACCCCAACTTCTGTTTCTTAAGTTGTCCAGTATTCCAATATATCCTTAAGTAGAGTCTGTTACCAGAATATTTATTTAATTATTGTCTGCCTCTCCGCTAATCATATCTGTTACGAAGGACTTACTTAACGTCAGAATTTATCCCTGACCCTGAGCTTTTAACAAGAATAAATTGATCTAATTCTCACAAAAATCCTGTGCAGTGCATGTTTTATTTATTTCCGTTGACAAAGGGGAATTTGAGTCACGGAACTAATTCTCCCAGGGTGCATTAGCTTGAGGCAGAAACCAGATCCAAGACTACCAGTCTGGTTCCTGAGCCCACGCATAAGTGTTCCCAAGAGCAGTTGTGTCTCAGTGTTTGCTCCTCAGCAATAGCACACGGCCCAGTGGAAGAGGCCCACACTAGTTAATTATCTGTCCAGTTAATGCTCATCCTTGATTCCAACTCAGGAATAACTCATGTTTGACTGAGTGGCCCTTAAAAAGTCACCAGACATTTCTGTATTCAACAGTTACTCAAGTACCATGTTTAGATTTGGAGAAATCAAATAGTATCATAGATCTAAAAATATGAAGAAAAATTAATTTTTAAACACATATGTGTAGAGGGTGATACAAAAAATATGCTTCCTAATTCATATTCCTCTAAATACCTTGTCTGAAAGAAGGAAACTAAGAGATAGTTGATTTACAGGGAGTGATTCCTTTTTTTCCTAGCTTTTGCAGCCCTTACCTTAGAGAGAATGGCTAAAGTTCCAGCAACCATTTTGACCATGACATAATTCTGAAGATGGAAGAGCAATCCAGCATGGAAGAATCAAAAGATAATAGCCCCTTCTAATCCCTGACTCTGAAGACATTTGAGGCTGACATACCTGTCTTGAATTCTTTTCACATGAGAAATGAATAAACATTTGTCTCATTTTACCAACATTTGTTTTGTTTTCTGTTGTATAGACAATAGAATCTAATTCTAAGCATAAACTCATTTCCTTCCTTGGCCAGCCTAGTTTCCTTTCATAATACTCATCACAGTGTGGTCTATTTTCAGTCCTAGACCCCAAGTTCCTTGAGCATTCTCTCTGATAATGTCAAGTCCCAACTTTGTGTCTAACCTTTGAGGTGTCCAATGAATATTTGTTACATAAACATATTCAGAAGCATCTAAACCATATTTCCCCTCCATGCTTTGGCCTTCTCTCCTTTATACCATATGACAAACTTCTTCATCTGATTAAACAATCTTTCATCTTTTTCTGTTATCTTTGATTTTTGTATTGGACTACACTCAGTGGTACCCAGAGCTCTCAGGGCATTACGCAGGATTGATGCCTGGCAGTGCTCAAGGAACTATAAGGTGCGTCCGAGTATACACCCAAGTCAGCTGCATACACAGTGAGCATCTTACTCACTATACTGTTTCTCTGACCTCTCTTTCTCCATCCTTAATTACAACCCAGTAATCCAACTCCTTCCAGTACATCCCCTTCATCACCATTAGGAAATCTGGGATGTACTTCGTCAATTCCAGAAGGGTCAGGAGCTAGAATAAGATGCAAGCCTGTCTTCTTTCTGGGCACACTAGAAACTAATTCCCACATGAAACTCAGGAATGAGATTCTAAGGACTCTACAGGGATTCTGAGAGGCAAATTCATACCTAAGCCATGACCTTGTAAGTCTAGATGTGGCCCATAACTGTGGCCTTGGACTATTGGTACTGAGAACTCCTTCTGATTGGCAGATTTGCTTTCTATCTTGCCAAATCCTTTGGCTTAATGCTAATAATCCATCCCCAAGATTCAGCACATCACCTGCTCAAAGAAAGTTACTGACCCAGGCAGCCGAAAAGGCACCTTGCAGAAAAGAATTTCAGAGTAGATGAGCAGTGAAGTAAAACAGATTTTATTTGGAGGGTTTTAGGAAGGTAAGAAAGGAGAGAAAGTGAGGGAGTAGAGTAAAGTGCTCAAGAGAGAATGTGGGCTTCTCCAAAGGTGAAGAGAGCCTCTACATACACCCGAGAATTAGATATGAAAGCATGAAAGCACACATCTCAAGAGGGGGGCTGTTGTTAACATATGTGCTTGGGTATCACATGGGCCCAAGCAGCACATGTCCATGCACTTTATTGTGGTCCTCCCTGGGGATTGCACACTTCATCATAACAAGTCCATAAAGGAGATTACACACTTTTGTAGTGGTCCCAGGGATTCCAAACAGCAGTGCCATCCCGATCATATTGAACATTTGAACATTTCTGGGCCACTGAGTCAACAGTTTGAAGCCCTTGTGCCCTTCCTTTGTTCAAGGTGGCTTTTATAGGGTTTTTCTCCAAACCCTTGCCCCACACCCAGAACTCAAGAGTTCATAGGACTTTCTAGGTAGATAAGAGTCCATTGCTAGGGTTATTGCCAAGGGGGTAGAGTTGGGAGTGGTCTCTATTGATACTCCTTTTCTTTTGGAAGATTTTACAAAATCGTTTTATTGTTTTTACAGCATTTCAGTGTACATAAGGCAAAGAGAAGTTATTTGTGTTTTAACAGTTTACAAACAGAAGAACATACAGAGCCAGGAGATGGCCCAAAGGATTGTATCCCAAGTGTTGCATGTCGAGGTCCCAAGCTTGATCCTGGGTACCACAAAACAAAGAAAGAAAAATAACAGCAGGAGACGGAACCAACAGTGAGCATATCCACACTTTATAGCTCATGTAATCTTAATGCAAAACAATATTCATCCTAACTCTGCTTAAGGGGGGAAAACAACCCTTCAAAAACTTCTCTTTTCTATTTCTTTACCTCTGGTTTTGTTTTGAGTCACAACAACCCCCCCAACCCCTCAAGAAAAAAAACCCTGTTTAAGGACTTAAAGACCCCATTTGAGGAATTTAGACCAAATCAAGGTTTGCACATGTGGTTTGTATCTTACTTGAGTCATGAAATAAAAAAAAAAACCTGCTATAATGAGTACTATGAAATGGAAGTGATAAGCCTCAAGCATTCTCCCAGAAGATTCTCTGACTTGATTTGATCTCATTATTTGTTATCTGAATTCCATTTTCAGTATGTTTTGCTTTATAGCCTTCACTGAATTCCTGGACAGTTTTATTATATCATCACATTTATTTTAGAACACCTTAAGAGCTTATTTGTGTAAACTGAGCAACAAGTTAGCTCTCCAAAGACAGAAAATATTCTCTAATGATCTGGACCTTTCATTCACTTGTTCTACTCAAATTGCAGTTATTAGCAATTCTTTACAAGAGATTTCAAAATCTTAATTAATATAAAATGATTCCATCTTAAATTATATAGCAGCTCCATTAAAAGAAAGCAAGATCACCACAGTTGACAGGGCAGTTGCGAAAATAGTTACCAAAAATACCAAAAGAAAGGGCCAGAGATATCGTACAGTGGGTAAAGTACTTGAATTGCATACCGCTCACCTGGGTTCAATTCTGGTGCCCGTATATGGTTCCTTGAGCCTGCTGGGAGTGATCCCTGAATGCAGATCCAGGATTAAGTCCTGAACACCACTGGATGTAGCCCCAAAACAAACAACCACAAAGTACTGAAAGAGCAAAAGCAAGGCAAGCAGCAATATTTCATTTCTGTGAAACAGAACCCCATGCATGATAAAAATGCAACCAACACAAATTTGGAAATGAATTCCACTTTTTAACTAGCCTCTCTTTTTATTCACACTGTATTCAAGAAAAAGCAAATCATAAGACATAAAAACATAGTAAACGTAGCTATTTCTTAAAATGATCAGTGAGAAAGACTAGAGCAGAATGTGGAGAGTGAATTTGGGGGCGAATTTCATTTCGCTCAACAACTTTTTTACTATTAAGAAGATTGGCCAAGCGGACAAAGGCATAGTTAAGATGCTTGTAACTCGACAGAGTTGTGTTTGATCCCCAGCACTGTACAGGGTCCCCTGAGCACCATCCAGAGTGATCCCTGAGCACAGAGCCAGGAGTAAGCCTTAGGCACTACCAGGTGTGGCCCAAAAACAAGGAAAGAATAAGTCTGGACACTCAATCTCAAGCGCACAAATTCCGGATCTTCTCTAGAGACACCTAATCTTCTTCCCCTATGGCTGAGTGGATGAAAATCCCATTCTGAAGGCCCTCAGATTTATTTCTCTCATCTCTGTCCCTGTTATTTTATATCCTTAAACAGCTGGTTGGCCAGCTATGCACTCTCCGTCTGAATTATTGTGAGAACAGCCCCAGGTTTGGATCCAAATTTTCTGTATCCCTGGAATTGTGCTTTCACTTGGAGGGCTCTCTTGCTCGTCCGTGTACTTCTCGTGGTTGCACCTTCACACCTTTGGAACAACTTGATTTCTTGCATAATGTTTGTCTTGTGGCTTTGGATCTTCTTGTGTCACCGTATCTTCTATGTCATGCAAGAGTTTATCACAAGATGCAGAAGGCATCTTCTTGATTATCTGCAACTGGTCTCAGATCCTCTTGAGTACGCCAGCCCAAACTCGGGGAAGCCGCGTGCGGCTCTCCAGAAACGCTGGGCGTTTCACATGGGGTGCGCCAAGACACTCCTGGCCCGCCGAGCTGCTCTCCATACTCCTTTTCTTGAACTTTGTTCCTGCTTGAATCTTGAACCACTAGGAGACTGGTTCCAGTATTCTCTGGCCTGGGCTAGCTGAAGGTTAATCAGATTAAAGGAAGGAATTGAGGGTTCTTCAAACCGTTTCTATTGGGAAGGGTCCAGTCTCCTAAGGGTCAGCTGCTGGAGAAAGTCTTATCAGGTCTTGCCTTTTGTATCCATAAGCCTTAGGACTAATGACTTTGCTTCCTAACAACTTCATTGCCATGGTGTGTGTGTGTGTGTGTGTGTGTGTGTGTGTATAGGGAGGTGTCAGGGGGGCTTCCCTAATCTACCTGCCTACATCAACACCACCAACAACAAAGCATGATTCAAAAATAGGCAAAATATGCGATAGACACTTTTCCAAAGAAGACACGGGTGGCCCACAGGCATATAAAGAGATGTTCCCTCACCTCTTAATTTTAAGGAAATGAAATTCAAACAATGCAATATTATTTCACATATTGAAGGAAATGAAATTCAATCAATGCAATATTATTTCAATATTATTTCACATATCTGAATCTGGGTCTTATGAAAAAGATACAAAACACATGGAGACATGTGGAGAGAGGGAAACTTTGGAAGTCATTAGTTGGAATGTAGATTGGTGCAGTCAAAAAGGAAAAGCAAGTATGGAGAGTTATCAAAAATTAAAATATAAATTTTATATTTATACTTATATAAATATAAATATATAAATATACAAATATTTCTTTATATAATAAATAAATTATCTCTCCAGCACAGCAGAGCCTGATGTATTCAATATGCCAAACACAGTAACAACAAAGTCTCCAATGGAGACATTACTGGGCCCGCTCGAGCGAGCAAATCGATGAACAACGGGAGGACAGTGACAGTGACAGTATCTATTATATAATTTTTAATTTATTTATCCAATGAAAATGGAAGTTCAAGATCAAGAGGTATATGTGCCCCCATGTTCATTATAGCCAAAACTGGAAAACAACTAAATGCTCACCAGCAGCTGATACGATACGTGTTATATCACAATCACGATCATCCTGTTGTTCGTCGATTGTCTCGAGCAGGCACCAGTAATGTCTCCTTCTCCTAGTCCTGAGATTTTAAAAGAGCCATTTCAATGCTCTTTCAGGATTAGGATAATGAGACCCATCATTGTTACTGGTATTTGGCATATTGGGTACGACACGGGAAGTTTGCCAGACTCTGCCGTGGGGGCAGGATACTTTTGGTAGCCTGCCAGGTTCTCCAAAGGAAAAATAAGATAATAAGATGTTGCACGGCCGCAAATACGGCCGTGCGCTTCTGGGAGCTGGGTTTTATAGTCTCTG